GCAGAAGGGAGGCATGAGGGGGCCTGCAGGGAGGGCGCTTGAATCATCAGCCACAGATTATTTTTAGACCTTGAGTAATTGAATGTTTTCTGTCCCAAATTTTGGCTAAAACAGGAAGGCCGCTCACTGAGATCCAGGGTGTCTCTGCCTTCCCTTCTGTACTTGAATGTGTTTCTGGGTACCCTGTGTCCTTGGAGGGAGGAGATGGCCGTGAAGAGCCTGTCCACCTGCTTCCCTTGCTGCCCCTGGGTGGACACACCTCCTGCTTGTCGGTTGGCTTGTCCTCCTCTGGCAGCAGCACACAGGCTTGTAGCCTGAGTTCTCGGTAGAGATCCTTTCATTCCTGTTTCCTGTGACCCAGCCCCCTCGTTCCTCTCGCTTTACTGCTTCCAGTGCGCCTCCTCGCCCTTGGTCTCTGTTTCCTCACTCTGGTTGGAGTTACCAGGACTGAGGACTCACATGTGACCCATCGGAGCCGGCCTTTAGCTGGTTTTTCCTCCAGTAGCCAAGGAACGGTGGCTTTTGACTTGCCAAGGGTGCCACAGTCACCTGACTCCACTGCCTGCCACCTACCTTAGTGACAGAAGGTAGGGTCCATCTGTTTGCTCTAGTATGACTAGATTGATCCCTCTGCCTCTCCCTCTGCCTCTCCCTCTGCCTCTCCCTCTCCCTCTCCCTCTCCCTCTGCCTCTCCCTGTCCCTCTCCCCCTCTCTCTCTCTCTCTCTCTTTCTCTCTCTCTCTCTCTCTCTCTCTCTCTCTCTCACACACACACACACACACACACACACACACACAATTAGCAGGTGGGACATTTATTTTTCAGGATACACATAAAGCTGCCATTATAGGGAGGATTCTGGTGCTAATTTAGATGCAAATGGAATTGCCCAACTAGAGCTGATTACAGAAAGGTCAGGGTGTCTGTATGCTCAATTTCACTCCTACGCATTAAGTTAATGCAATGCTGCAGTTGTGGGCATGATGTCTGCGCTTGGTTCTGGCCTTAATTTTTTTTTATAGAGTTTTGACTTTATAGAAGTGGAGTGTGACACATGGCGCCACCTCCTTCACCCACCTCCTTTTTAAAAGAAAACAAAGTTTCTATTTCTGAGAAGCTTGAAATTCTAATTAAAAATACGCATTTTGGGGGCTCCTAGACTGTGATAAAAGGGAATAGGCTGACTGTAAGGTTCAGTTGCCATCCTGTTCAGAAAACTGATTGTAGCTGCATGTGCACTGCTTCCAGGACTGACAGTGCTGCATCACAGGATGTCGGGTGGTGATCAGATGGCACAGGTTGTTCTGTTGTATTCATTTGCATATGTATATTATTCTGAATATATGAGCAGAGCACATACATGTGACACAGGCACTGTATGTATTGCACTGTATATATTTCAGTATGGTACTGTGTGGATACCAGAGTTTCACAATACAGTACTTACCCTTTTACTACATGTGCTATCTGCTAACATTTTCTATTTGAATTTAGCTAAACTGCTAGTGGACCAATAAATTGAATTCACTCACCCACTCTTGGGTCTCAAACTGTACTTTCAAAATCACTAACTTACGAGACTAGCAAAGACACAACATGAAGAGGGCTACAGGTGTGAGTGAGAGGAGGATGGGAAAGGTGGGCGAAGAATGAATGATCTCATCAGGTGGACTACGCTGGACTCAACAGTGATGACATTAAGTACCCTCCTCAGAGCTCCATTCTAGAAGTTGGGCTACAAAGTAAGCACACAAGAGGGCCTATGCAGAGATAGTCTTTAGGGTTACAGTTTTTCTCATTTAGCCAGGTATAATCATTTGTTTATGGAAACTGTTTTCTTTAGGCTGTTTCAGTCATTGTGGTCCAGCTTTAGTATGAAATAACATTTTTAAACTTTCATACCCCTAATCATATCCTAAGTGTTATTGCTCTATATGATAAGGTGCTAAGGCCTTCACTGGCTGTTTCTATGTAAGTTTGTAACTACCTTTATAGAATCAAGGAAATAAATATTGGTAGTCATCTGTAAGGCAGAAAGTCTTCCTTCCACTTGCAGGTGATTGCCCTTCCTCGTTGGACTCTGGCAGGTTTGCTGCTTTTCTGTCTTGCTGGTACTACTTTGGGGCATTGGTGGAAGACTGCACTTCACATTCTGCACAGCGGCGCGTCTTCCCTCTGGTGGTTTATCGTTAGCTTTCAAGTGATCACACCCGGGCTCTGGGCTCATCCTCATTAAGAAGTTTGCCTGTTTGGGGGGATTAGAAGAGGTTTCTGAAAGCAGGATAATGGGGCAGGGAAAGATTTTCTGGTATAAAAGGCTTTAAAGGCTCTGAGGAGGTGGTAGGGAAATGGGATGGAAAGAGAAGGGAACCAGGTTTTCCTGGCTGTGGTTTTAGTTTAAGGTGAGTGTGACCTTAATTTATCCTGAGTTTGCAACTTGATAAGTAATGGAATTGGGTTTTTAATATTTATAGCATGTTATGTAAATGCTGCCCCTTTGAGAGCTTTCTTAAATCCTCTTAGCTTATTAATGACAACTTTGATTTCTAAAAAGAAATAAAACCTTTCCATTTATCCAGCCTAAGAGTAGTAAACAATAGACACTTAATGCTCTCCTTTCATGTTAGCCCCCAAAGACTGAGACTTATAAGGAGTTTATTGCTGGGCTTTTGAGCTTATTAAGGTCATGTGTGACTCCAGAGGGGAATGTTCGTGCTGCATTATTGGTACAGAGGCATCTCCTGGGTTCTGCAGGACACGTCAGTGAGTCCAGCGATGCTTGGTAGGTAAGTTGAACTTCCGGCATTAGAGAAACTGCACACATGACCCATTTGAAATGATTGCACTATGGTACTTTTTTCTAGTGATCAAGATTGTTAGAAAATGAGACTTCTGCCTAAATCATTTTGGATTAGGTTTCTGCTACACTGCCCCAAGATTGCAGTAGTTGAGTGGATGTGAACTAATGGAGCTACATGTTTGGAATAGTTGTGAGTCATTTCCCCCTTAGCTAAGCTTAGTGACATCAGTTATTTTAGAGGTCTTCATGAAAATGTCCTTCAGATTGGGGGTGCAGCTCAGTGGTAGAGTGCTTGCCTGTAATGAATGAAGCCTTGAGTTTGAGCCTCAGCTCTGCCCACCCCCCTCAAAAAAAATCCTTTTCTGGGCCTTCAGAACACATGTAGATCATAAGGAAGAAGTGGAAGCTAAGCTTAACTCTGGCAGATGTAAATTGCCACGTCCTTGCGGGCTGCCATTCACTCATGGAAGTACATTCTGTGTGCCAGACTGTACACTGTACTGGGGCAGTTAAGAGAAAGAGTGAGCGTCCCAGGACAGCCGGCTGGAGAAAGCAGGAAACAAGGGATAGCAGCAGTTTTCAGAAGCGGGGTAGCCTGGAGGAAGCACTCTTCTCAGTGTAGTGTATTTGCCCTCTGCTTGTTTCTTACCTGTTTCCATTGCTGCATGTGGGCTAGGGAGAGCCCTTTAAAGGTGGCCAGATGGCAGCATGCCGTGCTGCACATTGGGAGGGCTCCCGAGCTGACACGGAGCTGGGGGAGCGTGGCCAGGCCACTCAGGGCACTGCTGTGTGTTAGTAGATTCTAAAGCACCAAATAAAATGGACAGTAACATAGCCCTTGTTTAGGGTGAGGTCAGCAGACAGCTGATTTGGTAATATTTTATCCACCAGGGCTCATCTTTCCAGGACACAGCTGAGTACCAGGAACTTTTTAAAAGTAATTTAAGCAACTGAAATAGATACTGCCGAGCCGTATCTATTAGCGCAGATGTATCGTCCACTCAGGGCTCATCTGTACATATCTAGCAGATCCGGACATCTGGCTTCTAAACTGACCTGTGGATTTTGAAAGCTGAAATTAAAAGGGGGAGAGGAATATAGTATAAATACAGTATACAGTGGTGCAGTAATGGTATGATAAAGTGACAGCTCACACTTTTAAAGGAGGAAGAAAGAAGAAGAAAAAAGAATCTCTCAAAAAATATCACTCTCTGTTCTGTTTAGAATCAAGTGCGTTTGATTTGCTTGGCGGGGTCATTTCTAAGATTTCTTAGGTGTGGTACTAGAATCTGAAAGCTTGAACTATTTTGGTGATTATCATGGGTTCAAGGGTGGGACTGTCTCGGCCCTTGTAGGAAATGGACCGTTGTGGTGACATCCACATGTTATACTCTGCTTTTAGGAGAACAAGGAAGTATATATTAGCCCTGAAGGAACTCCCCAAATGTTTCAGGCTGAAATTTCTGTAAGCATAAGATCTTTAGCTTTTGAAAATTTGACTCTTTCAGTGAATCTTCTTTGCTGAAAGACTGACATTTTACTGCTTGGGAAAAATCACAAAGGTAGAAAATATTTGTATTATAAAAAAAAGTCACAATTACTTTAGTAAGCAGTAAGCTCTTACAGCACTTTGTACACAATACTTTATGTATATTATTCAGCTATAAAAAATTGACCTGTAACTCTCCAGAAACACATCTGAACGCTGTAGCATTTCGTGGTAGTACCTGTCCTTTGCAGTGTGTTATACTATCATTTTGCTTTTTTTGCCCTTCTTCCTAGCATAAAATACGTTACGTTTTTGGTTTCTTGTATGTAGCAGATCCCAGTAAATGTTTATCGAATGACTAATCATGAAGCAAGTTATGCCGAACTTTCTAATGAATCCATTACTAACCATGTAAATAGTTTTCATAATCTTTTTTTCTCCATTTTTGATTACACACTAAAATCTTTATGGTATTTGAACTGCATCTGATGATCGGAGTTGTCAGAACACTTGAGTTGCTGCTGCTTTTGGCCTTTGCCTTTCCCTTATGGAATTGAAGGGAGGAAGCAGTGTGAGGTGCCGTGGATTGTGACTGCTCCCGATGGAGCACCGAGGTGTGCCACGTGCGTGTCTGTAGCGGGGGCACTACTGGGAGGCTGGGGTGTCAGGAGTTGGAAGGATGCTCACCGTGCTTCCTGTATCCTTGGTCCAGGTGACTGTGGAGGAAGTCATGACCACAACTGCATATCTGGACCTTTTCCTGCGCAGCATCTCGGAGCCAGCACTGCTGGAGATCTTCCTCCGTTTTATCCTGCTGCACCAGCATGAGAATGTTCACATTCTGGACACTCTCACAAGCCGAATCAACACCCCTTTTCGGGTAAGGAGGAAGGGAACTTAGAACTCAGATTCCAGAAGTTTGGGAAATGAGATTGTGCATACATCTCTGCTCACCCCCTTTTTTTAGAGCATGCATTACTTTCTTTCTATCTGGGTAGAGATGAACTGGATTTTTTTTCCCTCCTACCACAAGTCCTTTTGTCAGTGAAGCAGCACTTACTGCCTTTCATAGGACATTTTTTCTTAAATTTTTCTATGTAGGCACTTTCTTCTGTAGAACTAGCAGACTGCCGTTCTAAAGGGGTAGGATTTTGGAGAATTTAGAGGCTTAAGTGCCAGAAGAGCCAAGGAACCAGAGGTGTATCAAGTCTGGGTATGAGAGATTGTATCTCTATTCATGGGTGTTTGAAATGAAAGTCTGGGAAGTTCTGTAGCCTGGATCGTTCTGAAGTTTGGAGCTCTGCTTAACTGAAGGTTCTCTCACTTCTATTGGTTTCATCTGTTATATCCCCTCTGAAAAGGCTATTGAAGTGCAATTATTGTTTTAAAAGCAAAAGAATAATAACTTTGCAATGTTTCTTTGATTTTGTAATATATGTAGCTGTAATATGTTTAACAGTAATAGCATAAAGAGGGGGTAGAGGGAATAGAACTGTATAGGAGTAATATTTTTATATTTCACTGGAACTAAGTATAAATCTGCAGTAGTGCCTGTAAGTTAAAATACTAGATGGGAAGAGCTAGAGAAGCCACTAAAAAATCACAAAAGTGAAAAAGGAATTAAAGGGTTATAGTAGAGAAAATAGTCTAATTCCACCTAATGTGAACAGAGTAAACATTTTTCTCATGTGATGTGGAGCATTCTTCAAGACAGACCACATACTGGGCCATACATAAGTCACTGAATTCAAAACGATTGCAATAATGCAGAGTATGTCCTGTTATCACATGGATTGGATTTTAAAATTGTTGACAGGAATTTTGGAAATTCACAGTCACATAGAAATTAAGCTGTAAACTTCTAAATAATTTTCAGTAGATCAAACAAGAAATCACAAAGGAAGAGAGTTTACTTTGAGATGCTATAACATGGATAAACCTTGAGGATATCCTAGTAATTGAAATAGGCCAATCACAAAAAGACAAACTGAATAATACCACTCATCTGAGGCATCTAAAGAAGTCAAACAGAGAAATATAAAGTAGAATGGTGGTTGCCAGGGTTTGAATGATGGGGAAAATAAGCCATCGGGTTTTTACTGTGGTACTTAAAAAAGAAGAATGATATAAATCTTCACAGAATTTTCCAAAAAATAGTAGGTATTACATCCCAACCCGTTCTGTGAGACCAGTGTTATCTTGACTCCGAAATGAGACAGAGATATCACAAGAAAACTCAGACTATTATAAATCTATTATAAATATATAAACACAGGTATTCTCAGTAAAACACTAGAGCACAGAATCTGTAATGTATACAAAGATTATATACTCTTAATCAAGTGGAGTTTATCACACCAGGAGGGAAAAACTAGTTTAAAATATGAAAATCAATGAATGCAATTCATTATATCAAAAAGCTAAAGGAAAAATTATGTAATGATCTCAGTAGACACAGAAAGAGCTTGATAACATTCAGCATGATCAACATACTTAACTAGAAATAGAACGGAACTTCTTTAGTCTGATAAAGGGCATCAGTGAAAACCTCAAGAGTACATCTTACTGAATGGGAAAAAAAACTTTTAAGGAATAAGAATGTCTGCTCTTACCAATTCTATTCAAATAGTGCTTGAAGTTCTATCCAGGGAAATTAAAACAAGAAAAGAAAAGAAAAACCATCCAGAGCAAAAGTGAAATCACCCATCTTTATAGGTGATGGGATCGTGTGTGTAAAAAGCTGAAGGATACACTAAAAAACCATTAAGCCTTCTAATGAGTTTAGCAAGATTGCAGGATGCAAGAGTAATTAATTTTATTTCTATACAGTAGCAATGGGCAACTGAAAAATCAAATTATGAAAATCCTATTTATGATACAGTAACATTAGAATGAATAAAATATTCAGGAGTAAAAACCATAAAAGAAGTATAAAACTCATACGGTGGAAAGTACAAAAATTGTTAAAGAAATTAAAGAAGATCTAAGTAAATCAAAAAATAGCCTATGTTCATAGGCTGAAGACTTGATATTGTTAATATAGGAATACTCTCCAAATTGATATGCAAATCTAATTCGTTCCTTGTAAAACTTCCACCTGGCCTCTTCATTGAAATGATAAGGTAATTCTAAAATTCCTATGGAATTGCAAAGATCACAGAATGACCAAAATAAACTTGAAAAAGAACAAGGAGAACTCAAACTTCCTGATTTCAAAGCTTACTTTAAAACTATATTAATCCAAACAGTGTGCTACTAGCATAAAGGTAGATAAGCAGAAGAACAGAATAGAGTTGAGAGTCCAGAAATAAATGTACGTATTTGTGGTAATTGGTTTCCCAACAGGATTTCAGGGCCATTCAGTGGGAAAAAGAATAGTCTTCCAAAAATGGTGCAGGGAAAACTGGATATGCATCTGCCAAAGAATGAGGTTGAATTTTAATTCACACCATGTGTAAACATTAAGTCAAAGTGAATCAGAGACCTATAGAACTAAAACTGTAATGCTGTTTAAAACAGTGACTCAGAGTCATGAGCAACAAAAGAAAAAAAATAGGTAAATCAGACATCATCAAAATGGAAAACTTTTATGCTTTAAAGAATACCATCAAGACATGGAAAAGACAACACACAGAATGGTAGGAAATCTTTGTAAATGATATGTCTAGTAAGGTACTTGTACATAGACTAAAGAAAACACCACACACGCAAAAAGAAATACACCCTGCTTAGCACCTTTAACAGTGGTTTGTCGGGCTTACTATGGCAGCAGATAAGAAGGATACATAAGTGAGACATGGGAAAGGAAGTGTTGAGGGGTAGTACTGCGAAGAAGACAAGAAAGGTTTTTTTTTTTAAGAGTAGGAAGATTTTATTGGGAGAAAGAAAGCTTCTGTGTAAGAGGGACTGAAGGGGGCCCGGAAGGTGGGTTGCCCACCAACCTGTATTGTCAAGGGTGTTTTATTGAGCAAAGCCACGAGGTAAGATGGGACAGAACTATAACCAATCAAGAAGATTACAAGTATAGTCGCTTAGGTAATATGGATCCAATGGCAAATCATAGGATGGGTGTGAGGTAGGACAAAACTATGGTCACCTAATAAGATTACAACAAGTATAGCTGCTAGGGTAATACTGATTAAATGGGGATCAAATGGGGTGACAAGTCATGTAGCCAGTATGCATGGGTAGACGAGGACTTTCCTGAAAGGGGTGGGTTAAAGTTTGGGGGACCACCCCAAGGCAATTGATGCCTACTTACAATATCAATCACTGCTGTTCATCCCTAGGCGAAATATGTGGGTGAGTAGTTGTTCTTTTTCTTGAAGCCTGACCTTCAGTGAATATGCCTCCAGCCACAGTTGTCTTCTGTATTGACCTCTCAAGGGCTCAGCCCTGTCTGACTGCCTACAATATTTCTACTTAACTTAGCTATCTATAATATTTCCCTCTGAAGAAGTACCCCTAGCTGCCGTGCGGGGCCAAGGATCAAAGGCCTATCTGGCGACTTCCAGCTGAAGAAGGTCGTAGTTGTGATCGGCAGTCAGAGATACTCCACAGAGGGTTTATCTAAAGGCCGTGTGTGGACACCAGGTGTTCAACAAGAAAGATTTTTGTAGGGAGGTGTTGCCTAAGCTAAGTCTTTGAGAATAAGTAGGGGTTAACCTTGAAGGAGGCAGGAAAAGGCACCCCAGGTAAGCAAATAGCAATGTGCAGTGACTTGGAATGGAACAAAGTGTTTTGCTTTAGCCTGACTACAAATATATAACCTTCCCTGAACAAAAGAGATGTTTGGGGGCAGGTCAGGTACAGCTGCTTCTTTACAACACCATTGTGGATTTCATTGACCAGGTTTTAAGCCCATCCTGAGCGAAAGAGAGGCCAGCACTTACTTTCCTGTACAAAGAACGAGAGCCTGAATTACTTCAATAGCCCGGTAGATTGATAAAAGCTTGCTATCAAAAAGATATAATGATTTTATAATATACTTCTGGGTATGTCTCATATTTGGCAGTTTATCTTTTCCTCTTGGAAATTGGAGATTGAAGGAATTCTTTTTTTTAAGAATGAACTTTTTAGTGGGGAGGTACTACCTTGTGCTCAGCATTATTTAGGAAATTGAACCAAGGAGAGTATTTTCTCCCAGCTGAGGCTTGGGGCTGAGAGCTCTAAAGAGAGCTGGCCAGGTTACGTGCAGTGTTCTATGACTTCTCCTTTATAAATAACCAGTGTTGTATTTGAAAATTAGGAAAAAAACTACCTGAGGAGAGAGGGTGTGTGTGTGGGGGGGTGGTGTTGGAGGGAGTGGGAATATATGCCTATATGGGAGCTGTAGAGTGGGTATGTGTTTATCTGGATCTTTAAAAGTTGCAAATACGAGCATAGGAATTTTTATATCAGGATAATTCTGCGCAGTGGCATAATTCCAGGCACTGGCTTTCTAACCAGCTCCTATAGGAGAACTGATATCCTGAAATACACATTCTCTCTGGCAACAGTATGCTTTTTATCAAAATTACTAAAAAAAGAGACCATTTTATTTTGTAATTCCGGTTTATTTGCCATCTGTGGGGAGTCGCGCTATTCCAGTATTTGAAACAGAATGTGTGCTGATTGCTTCCCAGCTTTGTGTGGTGTCCCTGGCATTATTCAGAACGCTCATCGGTTTACATTGTGAAGATGTGATGTTACAACTAGTTTTAAGGTGAGTTACCTGTTTTTTTCTCTTTATGGAAAAATTCACTCTGTGTGATCATTATTTAACTTTGAGAATTAAGCTAAGTAGGGGCCATTTTCAAAGAAGAAAATGATCAAGAGTGCCAATTCAGTTTTTACATTCCTTCTCAAGGTTAATTTTCATTTTATTACAAAGAGCTTTTCAGGAGCATATGCATTATATTATGAACATGTTCATGGAAACAGCAGATAGAATGTTTGAAAATTTTCAAAAGTATTATAAAGGCTCTTTAGGATTGTGGCTGAACTTTTTTCTCCCACAGTACAGTTATTAGACACCTTTGTAACTAAAAACAGCTTTTCCAAACAGGGAGACGCTATTGAATGTAATTACTTTGGCTCTTTCTTTGGTAGTAGCGCACGGGCACTGTGCACTGTCTGGTCCACGAGTACATTTCAGTTGGATTCAGTAAATATTTAATGAGTGCTCGGCACAGTTCCTTGAGTGGGGCAGGTGAACTGAGAAAACTTCGCGCAAGTGACCGAGTCTGTCAGCAGAAGTGCGAGAGGGAAGGCGTAAGGAAGCAGCTAGTACTTGAAGATGGGTGCAGGAGTCAGAGCAGAGGGCCGATCGTTTGGTCACGCAGGCTGGAGACGCAGTGGTGCTGAAACCTGCCCCGGCCCAGTGTGCCTCCTCCTCTCTGGGAGGGGTGTGCTTTTGTGAAGGGAAGCAGCGGTGCTTCACCGTCAGCACTCTGTTCAGCCTTGATCCCAGGGCACAGTTCTAGAAACCTCAGCTCTTTTCTCCTGTCTGCTGAACCCAAATCCTGAGCCTTGAGATTGACTCCTCGAGGACTGGCCGAGAGAGGAGCAGAGGGCCAGTTCCCTGGGAAGGTGGCAGCACTTTGGCTTCCGTGCCCTTCTGATGGTGTGTAACAGAGACCCAGTGTCCCCAGCTCCTTCCTCAGTGAGCTTGCTGACTCTCCACTTGCTCCGTCCTTGGGAATAAGGGCAGATGAACCCAGAGCAGGGGAAGAAGGAGGGGCTGGAGGTTTCCCTTGTCCAGGGCAGGTTCTTTGTGGCTTGGGTGGAGCCTATGGAGAAAGCGAGAAAGCATTTGCCATGGAATACTGGCATTTGTGGTTAGGGAGCTCTGGAGAGTGAAGGCCTGGCAAAGTGTGCTCTCGAGAGCAGCACAGTGGCTTTGCCTGGGAACTGCTGAGACATGCACATTCCTGGCTCCTCCCTGAACCTACTGGGCAGAAACTTGAAGACGGCCTCAGCAAGCTGTGTCAACAGGTGCTTTGGCGAGTTCTAATGCTCCGTAAGCTTGAAGGATGCTGCGGTATAGGTGTAGCATCCTGCCAAAGGGGATGATTAAGAAGGAGTCTGAAGAAGTTGGTGGCTGCGTATCATGGAGGGCCAAAGCAGGCTTGTCATCTTGTAGGAGAGTGTTGCTGTTAGATGTTTAAGTAGAAAAGGGTTTTGAGCTTTTTAGGGTTCAGGTCAGGTCATCAGTAACTAATCTTATGGCATTAGCAGAGATCATAAAGAAACACATTGGGTAGTCTGTCCTGAAAGGATTACTTTAGCTCCCCATGAGGTGAACACTGAACAACCGAATGCATTAGCAAGGCCTGAATGAAGTCCAGAAGAACAACTTGGTGAGACCTTCTTCAGTGCCAAAAAACGGGCTTTTATTCCAAGGTGGGTAAGACTTGGTTGTATTTAAATGTTAAGTGTTTAAATACTGCTGTTTTGGTGGCAGAAAAGCAGCTAATTTTGAGCATACCTGGAAGGCTGCCTTGGTTGGGAGATGCAGAAGTGCCCCACCAGGGTCATCAGGGCAGATCAGCCCAGGTGGTGGGAGCTTTGTTTGCTGGCTGTCCAGGGACCTTACAAGGTTTGCTCTGATCACCTTGTGTCTGTTTTAAAGTCCTAGGTTAAAAATGTCCTCGGAGATGGCAGTGGCTTTGGCTTCTCTTAAAACCCAGAAGTGTGCCTTACGAGGTGGAGGAGTCAGCTCTTGTTTCAAATACGTACATGTCCACCTCAGGGCTGGACAGATCCATAGTGGATAAGGGTTAATAACCTCAGAAAGTGCTGCAGAGTGGGTTGTCAGAAGTTCCAGACCAAATGCCCGGTCCGAGATTAGATCTGAGATCTGCCTGCTGGTCCAAGGCTCTCTGAGCCCATGTTTGCCCGCCCTCCCTCCTATAATGTAATAGTGTAGTTGTTGTTTGTGGAATATTTCTTCCAGTTCTGCTGCACTGCCTGAGCAAGTCCGAGGTGAGTGAGGGAGAAGCCTTACAAGAGACCGCTGTTCCTGGTCTCTTTCCTCTGAACTGCTGATTTGACCTATTCTGGTCTTGAATCATGCTATTTTATAAGGAGAACCAACTGTGGATATCTGTGAAAATGTTTTGAAATGATATAAAGTACCACACAAATGTAAGGGAGGGGAGTTTTCCAGAAAATGCATTTCAAGTTCATGATAACAGTGTCTTTTCTGATTTAGATTATATCCCCAAAGCAAGGGGAATGAAAAAACTTCTGTTTTTCTAGTCATTTGAACTTTGCGTTAAAGAGCACTAGAATAGATTTATAATCTTTTTTTTTTTTTTTTTTGGTCTTTTCTTCCGGTACCAGGAATCAAACTCACAACCTTGCTCTTGCCAGGCAAACACTTTGCTGCTGAGCTAAATCCCCAGCCCCTCTCTCTTTTTGGTTTTGCCACCACAGCAGTCACTCAAATGTGTATGTAAATGTAGGCCTGAGCAGCCATAGAGCAGTGAAGGTTATGTGAATGCCTTCTTAGTGACGTTATCGTCCTGTAATAAAAAGTGATAAATAAGTAGGGATAAATAATGGTCATATGTCAATTTCCCCTGCAAGGCAAATGTTCTTAAATATTGACTCTTCAAAGTGATATTCTGTTTGCAACTGATAATGTTGCTTTCATTTGGAGAAATATCAAAAAAGCAGCTTGGAATAAGATACTCCAAAGGAGGGTGTTTCAGTGAGCAGAAAACCAAGGAGAAATTGCTCACCTCCACGGATGCGCGATGTACGATAGGCCAAGGGCAGGCGGAAATGCTGTCAAGCAGTGTGGTGACAAATCTTCCCCATGCTCCTGGAACTTGCCAGTTAAGGCAAAATTTAATTGCTTAACACCTTGAATGCCATTTCTGAGCATTTTGGGTAGGGTGTTTTTCTTCACAAGTGCCGGGCCATTGTCAGGTCAGGAGCTGCGTTGCCTGTTACGTTCAGATAGAGCTTGAAGAGAAGCTGTGCATTCCACTTGGAGAACATTTCCGTCTTGCCTAAGAGTTGGGGGTCTGGAGGAGAAGGGAGAGGAAAAGGCAGCCAGCTCAGGGGAGAATGAACAGGAGAGATGCGGCCAAAACTTCTTTGAACAAGAACTCTTTTTGAATTCACTCGCATTGCTCTGTAGAGTTTTGCACACTGGCACAGTGCGAGGGCTGTCGTCAGCTTGGAGGCAACACTTGGCTTACCTCGTTCTGCTTTACTGCTGGCTTTGGTTTGCTTTTCCTGTCAGTGCGAGAAAAGCACTGTGTGTTCTTTGTCATCAGTTGCTTGTTACTGAATTCTTGGAGAAGCGATTGTTTAACGAGTACTATCCAGAAGAAAAGGAAATAGTCCCTGTATTAGCTTTTTATCGCTGTGACAAAATGCCTGAGAAATAACAGCTTAAAGGAAGAAGTACTCTGGCTCACAGTTTCCGAGGCCTCCCTGTGGTCCGGTGGCTCCACTTATTGTAGGCCTGCGATGAGGCAGAAACATCCTGGGGGAAGGGCATGGGGTAGGACAGCTGCTCACTCTACGGCAGCCAAAAGGCACGGAGGGATAGAGGCCTGGAGGGAAGGAGCCAGAGAGCTGAGGACCAGATCTCGTCCTCAAGGTCATGACTGCATGACCACTCCCTTCACCTAGGTCCCCCCTGCTATTTCTGTCACTTCTCGGTGCCATCAAAGGCAGGTGTGATGGTGCACGCCTGTAGTCCCAGCATTCGGGAGGCTGAGCCAGGAGGATCTCTATGAATTTTGAGGCCAGCCTGGGCTACATAGTGAGTTCCAGGCCAGCTTGGACTGCACAGAGAGACCCTGTCTGAAAAAAACAAAAAATAGAAATAGAAATAAAAATAAATCAATAAAAAAGCCACTAAATTATGGGCTCACCATGGATTACTCTACTCGATGACGTTGGAGTCCTGATGATCCAATCGCTTTCTGCAAAGCCCTTGAGCTGGCAGCCAAGCCTTGAACACATGTAGTTTGGGGGACATTTTAAATCCAAATCATTGTACACCCAAGGTTGTAGAGGGCTGGGGAAGTAATGAAAACTGGGAGGACAGCAGGGACATTTGGGGCACTGCTGTTTTGGGAGATGGCTTTGAATAATCCAGATGTCTAAAGTTAGTATTTGTTAGTCTCCGATTATTCTTCCTGAACTTAAATGAAGTCCCCACATGAAATATATATATAAATGAAATGACAGTTTGATGGCAAATACCTCTACTAAATGCCCAAGTGCTTTTCTGCCGCTGGCAACCACCTTATTTTGATGTTTGACATTTGGGGAGCTTCTAGCACTTGTTTTATTCCCGGTCTTTCCCTATAAATGATGGAAAGGCAGAGGGTCGAGGTGTGCTTGTCTGCTCTCTTACCATGGTAAGCCATCATTAAACTGCAGAAACAACTGCTTTGAGTACCAGGGAGGTTGTTCATTTGAGTGGACTCCTCCAGTTCCTGTTTCATAGAACAACTTCTTCAGCCAACAGGGCATCTGTCTTTGATTTATTCAGAAGAAAATTCTTAGTTTCTGCTGAAAGCTTTCACAGTATTTACAAAGTTGCAAATTGCCAGTAACTCTATCTAAAATAATTTCAGGGTACCCACTGGTGACACTTGATAAACAGGTTTATGAGCTTTGATCTAGTGTCCTTTTTTTATACTTTAAATGAACATTAGAAGTCTGTGTATATCAGCTTCAACCATGAGGTACGTTTGATTTGAGCTGCAAGCAGTCACTGAGTTCTCATATTCAGTAAAGCAAGTTTATTCCATAAATAATGACTGGTGGATTTACAGCTGGTGATCAACTTGTAACACCCAGCTGAACGGAACCAGAGTGATGCTGGGTGTGGGAGGCCCACCTGAGGATTGCTGCTGGCAGAACTGGAGAGGAAGTTCAGAGGCTGTAGGGAGTTGTTGGTTTTCCTGGAGGAGCTTATCGTGCTGTCTTTCCTGATGAACTTGGCTGTTCTCATCATCCGAGGAGCTTGGGATCTTACTATCGCTGAGGATGGCTACAGTTCGCTTTGGGGGAGTACTGGTCCTCACTTTGAGCATCGCTTCCTGGCTCCAGAGGGGAAGATGGTGCACTGCTCAGACTCCTAGAGAAGCTTGTCGCATTGGCTTTTCTGATGAGAACTCAGCTGTTCTCCTGGCTGGAGGAGCTGGGGACCTCACTGTTGCTGAAGGTGGCTGCAGCACTGTTTGGGGGAGCTCTGGTTCTTACTTTGAGCGTCACTTCCTGGCTCCAGTGCGGATCCCTCAGCCTGCTAGCGCAGATCCTTCATCCTGCTGGCACGGACTTTCTAGCTTCCACCACTGACCTTTGGGCCTTCCCAGTGCAGATCCGTGAAACAGGCCTGCATGAGACATTTTTGTGGGCTCTTGGCCTCCAGTTGAACTCATGGAGGAGGCATTGTTACGGGTTTTAGGTCTTTAGCTGGACTCCTCCAGGACATTTCCACTGGGATCCAGGCCCTTAGCAGAATTCTGTGGTCTTTAGTGTGCGGACAGATTTCCTGTACTCTCTTTATATGGCTCTTTGGGTGACTAATATAAAATAATTCTGTAAATTATGTGTCCTTTATTATTCCCCTTGTAAATCCCAAACTACAACAATAATCAAAATAAGGACACAATAAATCCTGTGTGATCTGAATTTCCCCGGGCTCTGACAGCCTACAGGAAAAGAAGTCGCATCAGTAAGCACAGGACGGTTCTGCACAGCCATCTCAGGCAGACCTTGCCGCCATCTGCAGGGGTCCCTGAGGGCGGGCTCTTGTGTGTTGTCGTGAAGAAATCCTCCCGCCATCGTTGTCACAGCAGTGTCTGCATGGCTCCTCACCTGCTCTGCCCCTTCTTGTTGCTGCTGCCTCTCCCCTGTCCCCGCTACACACCGCCGCCCCTGTCCTGAGGTGCCAGAGCACCCTGCCTGCCTTCCTGAGGTGTCTGCCAGCTGCAGCAGCGCTGGGTTCAGACAGAGCGGGCAGATGCCTCTCCTCCCATGTCCTTCCTGGTCACCAAAGCATTTCTGCACACAGAGATCCACCTGTGGCGTTCATCTTTCTTCCCGTAGGGCTCAGGTACAAGTTACCAGAGCTTAACCAAGAATTAGAATATACCTGCCCCCTTCCCACTCTGTCCCCCGTGTTTGCTGTTCTTGTAGTTTTCAGCTGAGTTTATGACAGTGGATGGCCACTGCATTAGATGTGACTAGTGGGGACATATGGCTCTTAGTGACAGTAGTTAAACACATTCCTGTCAGCTTGAACCACCGGTGGTACATGCGTGGCCATCCCAGCAGGCAGCTTGTACCAGTGGTGGTGCAAACAGATCTAATCACTTGTTCAGTCTTTTTATGATAAAATCAATGAAAAGCTGCCTGACAGGCCAGTCGTACACGTACCACAGTAGTTCAAGTTACCCGGCAGTGAGATGCATGAATCCTGGCCCTTTCGAGAGCACTCTAAGTGGTCTGTGCCCACGGGGAGAGGAGGGCGGACCCCCTACCTCGCTTGCTGTGTGAGAACTGTGGAGGGCTTGAGAAAGAGTTTGATTCTGGGGAGACTGAAAGGCGGGGGGCCAAGTTTGTCATTTAATGGCCGGAAAGTATTCTTAAAACCTTTACCGTGAAGAATGGTGATGGTTCTTTGCTCCTTGTCTTACGTGTTGCCGAGGATTGGGTGTTAGTACAGACTTAGCTTTTCCTCATTTGGATCAACAGGAGACTGGGAAAGACTTGATACTTATAGGCCCCAAGGCATATCCTGCAAGTCGTATGTTTCATCTTTTTCACAGAAACCGTACTCATAGCTTACACTTCCTTGGAAGCGAAGAAATGTATGGAAACAAAAGCCACTGTAGCTTATTGAAAGGTGTGGCTGTTCGGAAGGAGCTGACTTCTGCACATGCGCGTGGCACTCGCCTCGGGTCCTCACCCCCCACTTCTTTAGATGAACACTGTGGTTTCCCCTTTCAAGAGAACAGCCATCCACACACGCTTTATTCTGCCCAGGAAGCCCCCCATGTGCTCCTGCTGCCTGGTCTTCAGGTCCGTGACACGGAGATGCTTTTGATCCCTAGCCAGCAGTGTCTTAGGGGAAATGGGTCTGGTGCTCCTTGCCAAGCCCTTCATCACCATGCTTTTTCCTGTGCTCATGAGAGCTAAGAGGTTTACACTAAGCTAGGTGTGGTGGTGCCGTTTGTCATCCCAGCACTCCGGGAGGCTGAGGCAGGAGGTCCCCAAGTTCCAGTTCAGCCTAGGAAATTTAGCAAGCCCTTGTCTGAAGGGTAAATAAAGAAGTTCACACTGCAGAGTGATTGTATACTTTCCACTAAACCAGAGTTTTCAACATTGTAAGATGAAAAATGCTGCAGCAGGCCCTTACTGTGGTAGCACATTATCTAGAACTGGTGAACGCTCACAGTGCAGTGCAGGTGATAGTCCTTCACTGGTGAGCTCAGTGATGCAGGCCCCCTTTGCCTGGGGGGAGGGGCTTCAGAGCAGGCGATGCTGAGGGTGCGCTTTGTAGGGTGACGGGGCACTTGTCAGGAGAGAAGGGAAGCACACCCCGGGGAGAAGGCACAGAGCTGAAGAGGGGATGAAGAGATGCCCGGAGATTAGATTCCAGAGACTCAGTTACTCTGCAGAGGGAGGGGATCAGAAGAGAGGCTCTGGACAAGCGTGAAGCAAGGCAGCAGGTGGAGCCCGCCAGCCAGCATGATAGGCAGGCTGAGAGAGGGGCGTGGATGAGTCCTTTCGGGAGCACCACTGGTCCCGAACGCGCTTCAGGATGCGGGTCCCCGTCCAGACTCGACCCTGCCAGACTGCGGGCCGGCTCTCTGTTCTAGGTACCTGATCCCCTGCAACCACATGATGCTGAGCCAGAGGTGGGCTGTGAAGGAGAGAGACTGCTACTCGGTGTCTGCTGCCAAGCTGCTCGCCTTGACGCCTGGCTGCTGCGCCAGCGGCATCACCCTGACGCTTGGGAACCAAGAGCGGGACTATATTCTCTGGTCGAAGTGCACGCATGATGGCTCAGGTAGGCTTGCCGGTGATGGTCTTTAAAACAAGACGCCAGACTCCGGTGCTTTGGGGTCCAGAGCACTGTACCGTCCCATTTCTGTTGTGAGTGACGTAAAGTGTCACGGAGACCACTCCACTCACGGAGGTGCCTGCCGTCACCTGGCTGTTGTCTCAGACCTTTATTATAAGTGGCCTTCATAGTGGCACTCTATAGAGTCTACATGTGAAAACATATTGGTGTGTATGACTTCTAAAGTAAAGTCAAAGTCACTGTTATGGGGATGGCTGTAGGTAAGATAGAATTAGTTCTTGTTTTAATTTCCAGAACAATCCATTTGTGGATTGTCTGCCTGTCAATAATACATCATTATAAAATTTGAAAATTGTGAGATGGCAACATTGTCTGATTAATTTGATTGACATAGTAGGAGGTTCCATAAATACTGTGTTTTTATAGGAGTTATATTTCTCATGTACTGTTTGCCAGCTGTAATTCACTTCGTACAAGTACAGTTTAAATGGCTACCTCGTGCTCGCTTCGGCAGCACATATACTAAACGGCTACCTCTATTAACCTCGGTCCTCTGGCAGGCATTTGGGAGAAAAGGGGCAAATATTTGTGTATCTCTGATGATCACATGGCTGTTTCAGGTCAGGAACATTCTGCCCATCGTGTGACCACTAGGAAATGGCTTAGTCCTGGTGTTGAGTCAAGTGTTTCCAAGTTGTAATCTGATTTTTCCTCCAATAATGTTCTCCTGCCCACCCGGCCACAGTACTGTTAAAGTAGGTTTATTAAAGTTTGGGCTACTTCACTAAAGAACTATCAGCATATTTGCTACAAACATAATATTTAAAAATTAAGGGTGTCTTTCATGCTCTTTACAGATACTGGGGACACGTGGAAATTAATAATTTATGTGACTGTCTTAAATATATTTTCCTGTTAGGCAAACTAGTACGGTGTCTTATTTTTTCATTTAGCAGTATTTTTTTAAAGCATGTTTGAAAATGAGTATCATTTTTATTTACTATGAAAGTTGTTTCAGGAATGATTTTGTGGCTAAACTTGCCTCAGAATTGAAAATTCAAATTAAACATGTGGTGTCCAAAACTTGCCAGCTTCTCTCTCTGTGTGTGATCATACTTAATGCTTTGAAGAAAGCAGTATCCCATTTTTACAGATGAAGAAGTAAACTCTCATTGCTGAGAGACACAGTGCCTCCACGTTCTGTCTTTCTGCACATCCTGCCTCTGGGGTTGCCCGGCGCCGGATGGACGCCTGGCAGGTGGGCCGTGTAGCCGGCTGGCTGGCCAGTGTAGTTACTGTGACCTGGTAGCAGCTAAGCTTCGGATTCTTGGCACGGCCACTGTTGGGGGCAAGTTACTTAACCCTTCTAAACTTTTCTCATCTGTAAAGCGGTGTCTACCCAAAGGGTTGTTCAAGGATAAGTGAATTAGACACAGAGATCTGAGAAGACTGTGGCATGTAGTAAGTACCCAGTGAAATAAGTTATGCCAGCCTAGTGACCTGAAAATGTGCCCTCATCATGGAGCAGCTCAATTCTGATCCAGCCTGGTAGATTCAGATCATGAAGGTGTGAGGCTTGCAACAGTGTGGCTGACGTGCGAACGAGGGCTGATCTGACCCCCGTCTCGGCTCTGGCCCTGGGGTGACTAGGGTTGAGTTCTGCCGTCTGTGAGCCTCCTTTTCATCTGCGAGCAGGGAGCAGTGTCTCCACAGAGGGTCACGGGGTTAATGCCAGTGCATTGACAAGGCACCCGCATCGTTCCACCTGGTCAAGAAATTGGGGAATATACATTTTCCTAGTCTTTTTTCCCCATCTTTAAATATAAATTTAAAATGCAAATATTTTCACAACTATTTCAGTAATGAGGTCAGAACTTTTAACATCAAAGATAGTTGTATGTCCAGATACAGAGTATTCTCAAGTGAAAGTGACTATTTGGTAGTGAGTATGACTTTAAGAGACAATTTGATACATGTCAACATGCTGATAGTCCCCAGGAAGGCAGAATGAGTTAATTGACTTTGCCAAAAGCCCAGTGTTTCTACAGAAAATCTAGTTTCCAAATTCATGGGTTACCAACCTCTCACTTTAGAGTCAAAGTGAAAAACTCCAATTATTACTGTGTGGCAGGGACTCTATTAAAGTATATGTAAATGTGATCCTCTCACCTCAAGAGGTAGCCCTGATTAGCTCTTGTTTCTCTAGGGACAGATTTCAACAGTTTGCGTGACCTATACCTCGGATTTGGCTGTTTGGTTTTATATCTTCTGTGAGGTCTGAGGTCAGAGTCTCTGTTACTATCTTTCCTTTTAAAATCTGTTCAATCCTCAGTACTACAAAACAAAAGGAAACAAAAGTGAGTCACCTTTTATTATTCAGATATCATTTAATCAGGCCTAAAGCGACATGGTCTCAGCTGGCACACTTAGTGGTCACATCCTGCCCGCCACACTTGTTGCCCGTTGCTCTGACTGCTGTCTGTCCCCTCAGGGCCTGCAGAGCCGCCACCCGAGGCAGCCTCGCCCTCGGCCTGCATCGTGGAGTATGGGAAGGCCTTGGACATCAGCTACCTGCAGTACCTGTGGGAGGCCCACGCCAGCATCCTGCGCTGCATGAGGGACTGCCGGGTCTGGTCCGCACTGTACGACGGGGACTCGCCCAGCTCTGAGACGTTTCTGCACAGTGTGCCGGAGGACAGCTTCGGGCACACAGCCTCCCCCGGGTCCCAGCTCCCGCCAGACCCAGGGACGGGGGGCTCTCAGCGGGCTCCAGCCAAGGAAAAAGGCCACACAGAGCTGGAGTGGGATGACAGCTACGACACAGGCATCTCCTCGGGGGCTGATGTCAGCTCCCCTGGGGCTTATGATGACCTGGACACTTCTGGCCCCCCTGTACCCATTGATCCCCCCAAACACATCCAGGAGATGAAGAAGAACGCCATCTTGCTCTTCAAAGGCTCCTACATTGAGGAGTCGGACTTCCAGGACGATGTGATGGTGTACCGGCTCTGTGCAGAGAAGGACGCAGAGGATGCCAGGGACTCCCAGGGGGAAACTGCAGGGCCCCCAGCCGAGGCCCGGCCTGAGGCTCAGAGTGACGCTGTGAACAACGGGCCCCTCAGTCCCCAGCCGGAGACGGATGCAGAGGGGGAGCACAAGAGGGACACTTCAGACCTGCTTCAGAACGTGTCCGAGGACCCAGCACCAGAGAGTGGGTCTGAAGTAGCCCCCGGATCAGACCCAGAGTTAGCAGCCCCCGCCGCCGAGGCCAAGCACAGTCCAGACCTCCTGGCAATCAACCCAGAGGGCGAAGACTTCATCGCCCAGTATGACCAGATCATTAGGGAGCTGGATTCGGGCTCTGAGAGCTTGATGGACCAGAGCTTTCCCTCGCCGGAGCCCTCGCTCCTCCTCAAGGAGGAAGAAGGCAGCGGGGGAGAGCGTCAAGGAGGACAGGGGGAGCGACAGGAGGAGCGGGAGAAGGACATGGAAGAGGACGACGACAACTTCGACTCTTTGCTAGCGGAAGCTCCTCCTGTGGAGAGCGTGCCTTCCCCGTTTGGGGTGAGAGAGGAGACTGCCTGTGGCAGTCGCCATCCTGTGAGGACTGCGAGCGCTCCGTTCACAGGTGACCATCTTACCCTGCTCTGTTGTCAGTTTCTGAGAGTACTTGTGCATAGTGGAACGGGAATGGAAGGTAGGTAAGGCAAGGAGCATCATCTGCTTACCTGACGGAGGAGGAGGAGATGTTTGCTAGCGCAGAGGGGCGTGGTCTTATTTTTGTTGTGTCATTTCTTGAAATGATCACCTTATTCTTTTTGCAAATTAGGGTTAAATTTTACTTGATATTCCTGTGATAAACTACGAGGACTGATGCACCACACAGGAATCCGGTCTTACTTATTCAGCCCCATATCCTTATTCTAGTTTTCCTTCTTACTGCTTGTGTGTGTGTGTGTGTTTTATTAATGTCTCCTGCACTAGAGTGCCAGATCCACGAAAGGGGAGAGCTGTTTGTTCTGCGCTCTCGCCCTGGGGCTGGGCCAGCGAACGGTGCATGCAGTAGGTGCTCAGAGCACTTGCGCAGTGGCGGTAGCTGTGGGTACACATCAGAGGCCGTTGGGGTAGCTGTGGCTTTGCCTGGGATCTCGTCCAGCTAATCACAGAATCTCCACCCCAAAATAGAGAGACTAGAGCCACATGGAGTCATCGCTCTTCCTTCCATGCATGCATACTTAAGTGATCCTCACTTCCGGCAGCAGGTGGGAGTCACAGTAAGAGGCAAAGGAGGAAGATAGGCTATCGCAGGAGTGGATCAGAGCGAGGACCTGGGTAGAAAACATTAAATACTCAGCAGTAAAATCAGAAAATGCAAATGAAGCGATCTCCACAGAGGAGAAGGCCCATTCAGCAATGAGAGGGTGGGGCCCCGGAGTGGTGATCAGTAGCAAGGATCAGTGCTGGTGACAGAAGCTGGGGACACAGAGGTACAGGCAGTGCTTCCAGGCAGGCCTGGCCGGTGTCCTGGCTCTGCCGCGTGTGAGCGGTGTGGCCCTGGCGGGCCGGGCCTCCGTTTCTGCTGAGCGTCCAGGCGGCGTGGGGCGGAACTGCGGCTGTTGCAGGCCCCTGAGCCCCAGGCCTAGACTCCCTGGCAGCGGGTGCAGCTTAGTGGGGGGGACTGTGCCCCACTCCGGCTCCCAGGCAGGGTGCAAAGGAGACTGCCTGCCGGTCCAGCCGAGCTGGCTTAATGCAGTTTCCAGGGGCTCTTCCACTCCTCCCCCAGTGTTTATTCATTTGTTTACTGATGCCTGAAGATTTATTTAAACAGGGAAAGCTCTTAATTCCACAATTATAAGGCTTGAGGAGGGATCTAGCTGAGATAACGTTTCAGTGTGAACAAGTTTTAATTAAAATTCAATCAGTCAGTCAATCATAAGTAAAAGGGATTAGATCAGCTCACGTCTCGCAGTTGATGCAGGGAAGGGGGCGGCTGGAGAGAGGAGTCAGGAGGGTGGAGGAAGGGCGCGCCTCCCCGTCTCCGGGCGCCCCGCTCTCTGCAGCTCTCCCAGCCCGCTGTGGGCCGTGGGTCCCGTGTGCTTGGCCCTCTGGCGCTGTGACAGAACACCTGAGAGTAACGGCTTCGGGGAGCAGAGAGCTGTCGTGGCTCCCAGTTTCAGGGCAGTCTGGCTGCACTGCCTTCGGCCTGTGGCAGGGCAGACACCTCCTACAGAGAGGGCTGTAGGGAAAGCTGCTTGCCTCGAGTCAGCCGGGGACAGAGCCGGCCAGGGAGCGAGGGCTGGGGCCCAGGCGTGGCCCGCAGGATCTGCGCCCATGACCCTCTCCCTCCCACCGGGTCCCTCCCGTCCTTTCCGGTCCTTTCTGTCATCTCCCGGTAATGCCGCCAGACTTGCTCTCTGTTCGCATTATTCCACGGCTGAAGTGAGGGCCGCCCTGCGCTAAGCATGGCCTTCCGGAAACCCCACTTCTACTGCTGCTATCCTGGTGACCAGGCCGCCATTGAGCCTTTCAGGGGCGTTCCAGACCAAAGCACAGGGCGAGGCTAAGGAGAGCAGTTCCATAGCATGCTGGCTTTCTCTCAGAGCCGATCCCTGGGAAACGTGGAAACTAAGGAAACAGAGTATAGCTGGGGGCTGGGGTAGCTAACAGGGCACCTTGTTAAATAACATCAGTCCTTTACGAGACACCTGAGAACAGCTGAAACAACGTGGTTCTTTGATACATCTGTGTAATTCTAATGAAAACCTTGCCTTTCCCTCCTCCTTCCTTTGGAACTTGTACACAGCTTCAGGAAACATCTTTCCTCTTTCTGTGTTTGTAAGCTTTGTAGTTTCCGGACTTCTGAGTGCGTGCTGTAGCATTTGGCTTAACTTCCTTTTCTCCAGGGAATACTGATATGTTCTTGAAATGAATACACATTCTAGCAAAATCAAAGCATTCCATTTATCTTAATTTTTAAAAAATTAATGTATTCAGCCTTTTTTATTGATCTCATAATATTTGGCAGGTTCTGTGCTTAGGAGCTAAGGACACAAAATGAAAAATATTCAGTCTTTTAAGAGGAGACACCAGCAAGGAACTGCATTCTCTCAGTGAGAGTACTTATCGGTACTGTATCCCAAGTCCAGAGAGGGCCTGGTGGAGGGCGCGGGAATGGCATCCAGAGGAGGGGTGCTGAGGACCCCAGGGGTACGGAAGAGCCCCTAGCAGAGAAAGGGGAGAGAAAGCTAGTGTGTGGCTGGTGTCAGCTTACGGGGACCTCTGTGTCAGACTGAAGAATGCAGACCTTGTACGCCCCGCCCTTGAAGCATTCAAGTTGGGAGCAGTGTCCTGGTCTGAGAAGGCCAGTCTTGGTAATGGTGTGGGGAGCGGTTGGGGCCAGGAGATCAAGTGAGAGGCTCCTGCTCTAGGAGAATTAGTGCTGTGCAGCAGTGCTTGGAGCCACTCCTTCTGTCTCTAGGACTGCTCTCACTCTTCTGTGCCAAGCTGTGTATGCATGGGCGTCCACTGCCGCGCTGTTTATAACAGAGAAGGGCTGGAAGCAAGCCAAACGGCCAGCAGTACAGCGGCCGAGCTACACAACTCTTAACAGTCCAGAATTCTCTGGCCCTGAGATGACCGAGACAGCCCTGTATGTGCTGTGTGGGGCAGTGTCCAGACATATTAAGTGTGAAAGCAAGCTGCACAGCAGTGTATAAAGAACATTGTCATTTCTTTTTAAAATACCACACACACACACACACACACACACACACACACACACACACACACACACGGCAGGGTCCTGAATTGGTTAGGAGCATTGAAAACGGAGGGTTTCAGTTTGGAATGCCAACTCCATTATTTCCTCTTACCTTTAGATAGGATAAATAATAAACGTACTTCGTAGGGTAGTTGTATTAATGGAGTTGATACATAGAAAGTGTTTAGAACTCTGGCTGGCACAAAGAGTGTGCTTAATAAATATTTTTAAAAATTCAACTACTTTATTCATAAGGCACTTGCGGAAGGATACAATAGAATGTAATAGCAGTGGTTTCTTGGGAGTGAGGTAGATTTCTCTTTAAATCCTCATTCTGTATTTAAAACTCTGTTTCTCCCCTATGTATGTACATCTGTATGTATATCTGCAATCACTGTAACTGCTGTGAAAGCAGAAGAGTTGCTGCTGGGGTGCAGACAGGGCACGATGAGACTGTGGCCTGAGGCAGCGCTGGCGGGCTGCACAGGGAGACTCACTTTCAGGAGAGGTTTCCCTGGTGGAGCCTGCTGAGCAGGGCACAGACTGATGGCCTCTTTTCTTGGGATGGGGATATGCAGGATGGGGTCGGGGGTAGGTGGACCAAGGCAGGGGGTGGGGACCCTGGAGGGGAGAGAGTGAGTGACAGGGAGGGGTGCTGGAGATGGCCTTAGTCATCCTGGAGAATTAAAGATTTTATAGGTGATGTGTGAGCTTTCTGTTACTATAAGATACCTGAGAAAACCAATTTACAGGGGATAAAGGTTTATTTTGCCTCACAGTTTTAGAGGCTTCAGTCTATACTTGTTTGGCCTGATTGCTTTTAGGCCTGTGGTAGGGCAGCACCTCATGGTAGGAGCATTTGGTAGAGGAAGCTGCTTGTATTGTGGTGGCCAGGAAGTGAAAAAGAGCAGGGGCAGGATCTCCTGTCCCCTCAAGGACACTCCCCCAGTTACCTAACGTGCACTGGGCCCCACCACCTCCCAGTAGTACTGTAGTCCAGGGACCAAGCCTTCAGCACCTGGGCCTCCGGGGGACATTCAGGATGCAAGCTGTAGTGATGGGGATTTTATCTGTCTGAGGCAAAGATGGAGAAAACCCGCACCCAGGTAGCTTTCAGAGTTATAGCTCAGCCTTTTGGTTTTCAGCTGTTTCCCAGTTGCCCTAGCAACTGATTTTTGCTAAGTACTTTTTTAAAAAATGTACTAGAAACCAAGACTAAAGTACAAATCCAAAAGGATGTATATCTCCATGCCATGAAGCTAGCATCACTGGTGGCCTGGGATGGCTTGATCTATGTGTTGTCACTCATGTGAGACAATGACCAGATCTTGCTCTTTCCTGAGAGAGGGCTTCAGGCTGTTCTCCTGCCCTCTCTGCAGTGGTGGCGGACCGCAGGTCGGCTCCTTGATCAGGTACAGGTATAGTTCAGGACTGGGGAAGGGAAGTTGGCCGATCACATTACGGACATATACTCCGGAAAGACTCTGCTCACCTATGGATGCCTTCACTGACCTGTTCTTGGTCCACGCAGATGGAAGCAGGTAACGAGTCAGGGACTGGAGAGGCAGGGAGAGCAGGAGACAGCGCGCCAGAGTTGAGGGTGACGTCAGTGTCCTTCTGTAGATCCACCTGGAAACCAGAACTGTGCTGGGCTGTGTTGAAAAGAGCACCATGGGCGTTTCGGGGGTTCTCAGGAAAACTGTTACTTTGCTTTCAACCTGGGGTCCTGCCAGTCTAGAGTTTCTGAGTGTGTGCCAGTCCCTCCCAGTTCCATTTCATGAGCTCGTCCGGGGCTTGGTAACCCCTCTGGCATAGACAGGGACTGTAGGGCTGTGCGTCTCACCCCATAGGTGGGGAAGCAGCTGCCAAGCTCTGCACAGCCCGGAGCCAGCTGTGCCTCTTCTGGATTTGAGACCATTAGGGGCACCCTCAGGCTCTCTGGACGGGCATATCACAGTTGCCCTGTTTGTCACCCGTGTGGGCAAAGGTTGGGGGTTTCCATTTCTCATGGAGACCGTGTTTCCCAGCAACAAGCTTTACCAGGGCTTCTGAATGGAGCATCTTGTGTTTTTGTTAAGCTCACGTTAATGGTGCTGAAGTCCTCCTAAGGCACATTTCTTTACCAGAAGTTATGCGCTTTTGTTATAAATATGCCCTGGCTTAGCGGCCTCATCAAGAGCCCCACTGGGGGAAATACAGAATTCTCACTGATTTTGCTTAATGGAACATTTTTATGGCAAAAATTTAAAACATCTTTAAGTAGTTTTATTAATGCCAGGTTTTTCTGTTTTCCTTGCCTTCAGTGAACTAGAACATAAAGCAGATTAATTTTCTAGTGACCCAAAGTAGCAGAGGCTCTTTGTGCCTAGTATTTTTATGAACAACTTTTGCAGTCATACATACATGGGTTTTCTTTCTTATAAACTCCATTACATACCAGACTGTATCACCCAAGGCCGAGTCCCTTCTTTCTTTCTCATGCGAAAAATTAAAGTGTGATCGCTGGTGGTCGGGTTGCCAGTGTAAAGTGCAGAGCCTTGTTCCAACCTTGTGTCTGTCTTCCCTCTCCTTCCACATTGGGACCTCGGCAGGCAGCCTCTCTCAGAGCGCCTGTTCATGGTTCATGTGTTGCTGTTCAGTAAACTTGGTTTGGTGTAGCACAAACATTTTTTGTTACCAGAACTTTTAATGGGCTCTGATGTTTGTGCAAAACCTTCCATAGATCACAGCATCTTGAGATGATGTGTCATGTTTGATCCCTGATGACCACAGGAAGACAGAACAGTGTAGAAAGCATATTTTTATAAATGTCTGATTTTTCTCTAGGTCTACGATAAGTTCCAAAGTCCTAAAATTGCTCGTAGAGTCAAAGTCTTAGTTACTGGGAGTGGTGTCTTGTCTTCTTTGTGTGGCCATGTTTCGTCTTCCACCTGGGCGTAGAGCAGGAAGCTGTGGATGTGTGTGTCCTCCTGAGTTTGTGGCCCGTGGCAGCCAGGCTGTGGCTCTGGTGCCTGCAGTTGCTGAGGAGGCACGTCCCTGCCCAGCCACCCCTGAAGCCCTGTGTTCCTCCCACAGGCCCGTTCATCAGCGTGGTCCTGTCCAAGCTGGAGAACATGCTGGAGAACTCACTGCACGTGAACTTGCTGCTCATCGGGATCATCACACAGCTGGCCAGCTACCCCCAGCCCCTCCTGCGCTCCTTTCTGCTCAACACCAACATGGTCTTCCAGCCCAGCGTGCGCTCCCTCTACCAGGTACGGCCTGGAGCCCACGCCCACATCCATGTCCCCAGCTGGTGATTTTCCATGTGCTGGTCTTCGGGGCTGCTCTCCTTCCTTTCATGGTTTTGTTGTTTTTCAGGAGCCCCACTGTCCTGAGTTGCTTTCCTTCCCTGTTTGTGATCCTAGCTGTGTAGACTCTTCTAGACAAATTGCAAAGCTTCATTTAGTTTGATGTTTGGAGGGTGCCCTACCAGGAACACCCAGGCAGTTAAAAATGAGCAAATGCCTAATATCATAATAGTTCCTGTAATGAGGGCTGTACCTGAAAGATGTATGGATAACTGAGAGTGGAATTCCACTGTGGGGCGTTTAACATCTTTACTGTTGCTCTTGACAGGTCCTTGCATCTGTGAAAAACAAGATCGAGCAGTTCGCCTCTGTGGAGAGAGACTTCCCAGGCCTCCTCATCCAGGCCCAGCAGTACCTGCTCTTCCGGGTGGACACGTCTGATGGGACCCCTGCGGCCCTAACCAAAGGTCAGCCGCTCTCTCTACGCTCTCTCCTTAAACTTCCAGATCCCCACACCCAGTTTGCATTTGCTGATGCTGCCTCGGTGCCTGGGCCCGGGAAGCATCTAAAGATACTTCGATTTTTACCCAACAGGAGGGAGCTCCTCTTAGTGTTAAATCTCAAGGGCAGTCTGCCTGGCCCGCAGCTGGCCTGTGTCCCCTTTGCAGGGTCTGGCAGGGCACTGGTTTTCTTGAGTGCGGTTCGGGGAAGGAGCTGATGTGTGGGGTGTCACTGGGCCACAGAAAATAAGCCAGCACCTTTGTGCCATCCGTGGCATTGTGAGCGCCCCCCAAGCTATTTTTTGGCCAGCTCTGTCCTGAGGAGCGCATCTGCTCTCTTTGCTATGTCTTCAGTGGCTCTGAGGCCAAAAGATAAATGTGCTTTAGGACTGTATGAGGTGAAAACCGTCCTTTGGACCAGGAGGAGTGAAGTTGTGTGCAGCCCCAGTTCCTGACTCGAGGCTGGGCATGCGGCTGGCTGGTGTGGGGGCAGTGAGGGCAGTCACGAGTGTGGGCCTGGGCGGCCTTGCTGGGTGGCCTCCTTCCCGCTCTGGCTCGGCACAGTTGATGCCCATTGTCTTCTGAGTTGTGACTCGGGCCTTGGTGAGCACAAACAGGACCAGCCCGATTCAGGAATGGAGCAGAAGCTGCACCGTGCTGGGAAGAGCCGCAAAGGACCGTGGTTAGATACCGGTGGCTTCTGGCTCCGTATACTGTGTTTTTACCCTAGGCTCGGTCTTCACTTACGTGTTACAGTTTGTGAGGCACTCTCCCAGGCAGTCGGGTTTCACTGCCAGACTGTGCAAAGGGCAGGAAAAGCCCCTTAGCTGCATTTTTGGTAGGGAAGCCGGAGAGAGGCCTCGGGCGGTCAGCTGGGGTCCTGAAGCTCAGGTGTCTGGGAGCTTGGCAAGACCACGCTGAGCTGGAGCCAGCGGGTTGTGGGGGGCAGTGGTGGTGCCACTCTTGCCTTGGGCTCTGCCCTGGCTTCAGGCTTTTCGGCAGGTGTGGATGTAAGGTGTGTGCTTGGGGGAACTTGTTCTCACTGGGTAGGGTCGTCAAGTTAGCAGCGAGGGTTGATACTTTTGTTTTCTTTCATTTTTTTGGCAGTACTAGGGATTGAACACAGAGCCTTCACACTGAGCTATATTTACAGCCCTTGAGGCAGGGCATCACTAAGTTGCCCAGGCTGGGCTCAAACTTATGATCCTCCTGCCTCAGCCTCCCAGAGTGCTGGGATTACAGGCATGTACCACCGTGCCTGGCAGTGTTGATGCTTCTTAAGGCCTGTGATACTCAGGAGTCTTTGTAGGAAGCTTCTCCTGGGAAAGAAGAATCTCCTGTTAATTGAGTGTTTGGGATGAAGCGCATAAATTCTTTCAGGTTGCCAAAGTGACACTGTCCCTTACAACTGGAAATTCGCTGCACTCAGAGTGAGATACTCTGAAGCACTTCCTGTGATGTGGCTGCCTGTAAATGAGTCGAGCTGGGGAGTCCTGGTGTCGCTGGCATGCTGAGCGACTTGGAATCATGGCAGGGGTCACAGAGGGGGCTCCCTGTGTCCACACTGCTGTGTCCTTTCCTGGCACCGCTGCCAGGAGATGAACAGCTCACGAATTTCCCTCCTCACTTCTGAAACTCCCCCGCATTAGTGCTGAACGCTGTCACGGCATTTCAGGAGCCGCGCTCAGTGCCGCCGGTTGTTCTACTTCGTCTCCGCCGCTCCTTTTCCTTCCAGTGCCGTGCGTGTGTGCTGGAATCTTGTATGAGAGGCATAACTCAGGCTCGTGCAGCGGAGCTGCTCCCTCACGCACCCCTTCGCCCCCTGGGGCCTCCGCATGGGTGTCCCTGGCAGCCAGGAGAGGACCGCTGCTCAGGCGGCTTCCTGTTGCCAGCGGCCACTGCCCTTGAGACTGTGGGTCTCTTGGATTCTGCCACTTGTCAGGCTTTTCTTTGCCCCTTCACATCCTTTAAGAACCACAGGCTGTGTACACGCAGTTCTTCAGCTGACTCACGCGTCCTAGAGGGGAGGCTGGACAGGGGCCGTCCGTCCCGGCAGGCTGGGATGGACAGGACGGGCTGCTTGCCGGGAAGGGACCATGACGCAGGTCGGCTTGCGTGGGATTTGAGAGCTCGAGGGTGCTTCGCGGGCAGTGAGCTCTCGGCCGCGTCCCGGTGGCAGCCCTCCCGGTGTGGCGGCTGCGCGGGGCCGTGGCGGGTGTCCCTCTTTTCCTTAGCCCGGTGCTTTTCTCCTTCATTAGCTAGGACTGGGCGCTGGGACTCAAACCGAGGAGGCCAACCCTAGCAGTGACACGGGTCAGCCTGGATAAGTGAGCGCGGAGAGCCTGTGTAGCGGGTACGAGGAGTGAATTCGAGTGAAAAGGCGGAGGTGGGACTGTGGGGCAGCTCCGCAGAGGGGCTGCACGCACAGGACGCCTTCACGCAGCAGCTGTTGGCGTGGAAGGGTTGCAGGCTGTGAAACCCACACCGTCCGATGGGGCTCAGCGCTCACCAAGCTCAGTGTGTGCAGCGGAGCAGACAAAACACAAACCCCAGCGCCAGTCCGAAGAGCAGTGCCGACCTTCACTGGCCTGTAAACCGGCTGGAAAGCCAGACCTGAGGAGGACTTCGGGGCAGGGTTGGGGGTGCTGTGAAGTCAGTGGTGGCTACACTTCCCCGCTGTGCCTTGGCACTTGATACCTGTTGCCTCATTTAATCCTGTGCCAGCTCCATGGGGTTTTGACAGGCAAGGAAAGGAAACTTGCATGAAGTCACTCAGCCAGTAAGTGACAGAGCCTGTGCTCTCAACCACCCTCCTTGGGCCTCTGAAGCTGGCTGAACAGACCCGGAGGAAGGGAACGCGGGGGAGGAGCCAGCATGGGCAGCGCGGGCTTGGGTTTGGGACTGGTGCCTGGCTGTGTGCCACCCCTGGGTTTCCAGCCTGTGAAGAGCGACGGTCGCGAGGGCCAGGGCTGGGGTGGTGAGTGGTGTCGCCCAGGCTGACCAGGGTGCCCTCGGTGACATCAGGACCTTTGTCCTCACTGTTGTCAGGGAACAGTGGGCGCTCCTGCCAAAAGGCTGTGGGAGACAGATTCGCAGCAACTCCACGTCTTCATGGCATGAACTGTGGAAGCTTTAATCTGAAATGATATTTAAAGCAGTAAAGTGGAAGATTTTTTTTTTAACACTAAAGACTATAGTAGTGAGATGTGGAAAGTACTATAAATGTCAAGAATTTTTAGTAGCATAGTTAAGAAACACTTTGAAGAGAGTGTTGAAAAATGGGGCTGAATTCTAAAAAGCAGCCAAAGTAATGAAGAGCTTGAATATAATGATTTAGAAGGAGCAATGAGAGTGTTCTGTAGGGGGCAGAAAGAGGCATAAATAATTCTGACAAATATATGAGGGCTGAAGATGTTCAGGAATTAGTCAGAGAAGTTGAACCATTTTAATTAGTAAAACTGATTTGGTATAAAAATGCAAATCTCTTGGCTATGTTAGAGCTTGGGCTCCCATCATCTTAGACCTTAGATTGAAACTGAGACGGAAAGTCCTACAAGCCCTTGGTACATGTTGGCTTCCAAGCCATTTATTGCTACTGGATCCCAATGGCTGCGGGAACGTTTTAGTCTGGTCTTTCCAGGACTCCAGCATCCTCTCCACTATTGCAGTGAAGAACTCTTTCTCCATCCTTCTGTATGGAGGCTGACGGTCCCGTGGTGGGCATCAGGGGGCCCGTGGGTCAGAGGAGCAGCTGCAGAGAGCACAGACCTTAGGGGTGGAGCTGCACCGTGTGACCTGGGCTGGCCTTGTGGAGGTGGCATAGTCATGGTCAGCCAGGAGAGTAGGCAGGCCGCCCAGTGTCCCTAACTAAACATCCAGTGAGCCCAGGCTTCACCTACTTGCTGCGAGTGGTAGGAGGGGCCTTTTTCATTTCAGTCCCTTTCCCCTTGTCTGGATGTGGAAGTGTCTCTGCCTTTTTTTTTCCTTCCTGGGGGTATCACTACGTTACCTGGCCTGGGCTCCAGGGACTGCTCCCTCCTGAGCGTCTGGGTAGCTGGGCCCAGAGGCACACACCACGGTGCCAGCTGGGGGGCTTCTTGATGCACCTGTGTCCTTGCCATAATTTCTGCATGAGGATGCTTAGGTCCTGGATAAGTCTCACATCACATGCTGATGCTGGGTCTCTGCTCGGCAGATATGGGAGTCACGGGGTGCTTAAGGGCTGTGTCTTCAGGATGTAGTCAGTCAGAAAAACTGCTGCCATGGTGACCCCTACACCAACTCCTCCTGCCCCAAAGGCACAGGCTTCACTTAGGTGGGCAGAAGGTCATGGAGAGTCCCCATGATGGTTTTCTTTCTGGTTTCAGATCCCATTCCAGAGGCTTCCAAGACCGGAAGTGGCAGGAACCTTTTGGATGGTCCCCCAAGAGTGCTTCAGCCCTTCCTGACCAACAGAGCCAAGGTGGCCGGGGCGCCCCCGAGCCTGCCCTTGGCGGTGAGGAACACCATGCTCGCCGCCGCCCTCTTCCCCGAGTTCCTGAAGGAGCTGGCTGCCCTGGCGCAGGAACACTCCATCCTGTGCTACAAGATCCTGGGGGACTGCGAGGACTCGTGCTGTTAGTGTTTTTAAAAACGTCTTCACAGGTTGTAGTATCTTGACTGAATGTTAAATGCAAAGCTGCTTGTCAAATTCTATTTTGATGTTTCCTGATGATACTTGATTTACGGAGGAGATTTCTGCGGCCCTCCTTTCTCCAGCCAGGACTTCTCCTGTGCGTTATGTAGAATGTAAGTCTCCGAGCAGATCGCTCCCCTAGGCAGATTGCTTTGCTCACTTTTCCCACCTCACACGTTTCGCTCGTTATCTTCCCAACCCTTTGAATCACTCCGCCTGCTGTTCAGATCGAATGGGGCAGACGCTGGGGCCCACTGATTTCTGGACGTGCCCCGTGGCAGCAGGCCAGGTTTCGGCAGTACACGAAGGCTCCCAGCATCTCAACGATGCTCTGCTGCCCTCTGCATTTTGGCTTTCATTTTATAAAAGGGAACAGTTAAGATGGAGCTGTTCTTGCCTTCATCACACAAACACAAGCCCTGTGCCCTCTGAACCTTCCTTCCGGGACTTTGTTCTCTCTGCACGCATTGCCTTATGGTATGGGAAAGCCCCTGGTCCATCTCTGGGATGTCCCGTGGCGTTGGAGAGAACCCGGAGTGCAGGGAATTATTTCTCGTTGCTGGAGAGCTCTCTTCAGTCCCCGCAACATTACCGAAACACTGAAGATGGCCTTATTTTAGTCAGATTTGCACAAATCGAAGTGTGCCTATGCAAACTGCTACTTTAGCTTTTAAGAGTTTGATCAAATGAAGAAAGTGTGGTGTGTACTTATGCAAGACAGCCATCATTATTTCTTAAAGTGTTTTAAGAGACGTTAATTTGTGAAGTGCTTCTATAGCGGGCTTTTTCAGGGGAGAGGCTGGAGTGGGGGCAAAACATAAAGGTCAGCTAAATGCAGCCTGTAAAAACTCTGGTCATTATTTTGACTTTTTTTTTTTTTCTGGCAAACATGTTGCACTTTGTAGAGAAATAGGCACGTGTGCAGCCCACGTTTTGGGAGCTGGGACATAAATGCATCCAGCTCACTGGAGCCCTGCAAAGCCAAGTGCCGCGTGGTGGCCGCTCCACATAGACACGCTGCTTTCTAAGGACAGCTTCATTGGAAGCCCCAGCCTGGGTTATTAGTGCTTCTCACTGCTTTTCAGCCTGCTCTAAGAGGCAAGACTGTCCGCAGAGCCATGGCCACGTGAAGCTACCTCCAACGGGGAGATGCACAGAATAATGGGGGGTTGAGAAGATGGCCTTAAGGAGAGAAGAAGGAGACGAAACCACGGGGGTTCATGGAGATTACATTGCACTCATGTGCTCGGGCCCAGGTCTGTGGGGAGAAGCAAGGAACCGGGACAAGCGTGTGTTTGGAGGGAGACTGGAAGGCCTCCCTGCCAGGCCCCGAGGGCAGCTACGGTCTGCTGGTTGTGCCCGGGGCACTCGTTTGTCTTAATCAGGCCCCGGTACAGGAGAGAAATGGGAAGGAGTCACAGCTGAGGCCCTGCTGTGCCAAGGCGAGGCTTGGTGCTTGAGGATCTTGCAGCGGCTGTATACTGAGAGAGGTGGAGACAGCCCGGCCTGGAGAGCCATTTTGCATTGTTCATAGCGTAGGCAAGAAGCCATGTTACCTGTCCTGGCACGTTTCCGACCTCACATTTGTCTGTCACGAAAACGGGTTTGCTCAGCGGTGGTACCGCAGCCAGGTCAGCTGAGGCACAGCTAACTGGTCTGCTCGTGGCTTCCGGATGCCTCGCTGTATTTGCAGAGCCCACAGGTCTCCAGCAGGAAAGAAGGAAGCTTCAGGTAGAAAAAGAGGGATAGTTAAACTGTAATATAGTATGCTCAAACTGCTCTGCACAGGGATGTGTCTGGTTGGTTGGACCTGCCAGGTCACAACACGCGGAAGCCGTGTCTGCTAGTGGTGTTCTGCGGCTGCGGGAGCTGGTGTGCTGGCAACTCACCGTGAGTCTGTTTCTTTGTCGTAGAGCACCGTGGGCCCCGTGTGGAAGGTGCCCGTTAAGACAGGGAGTGACTTCGTGCCTGTCTTTTTCAGTAGGTACTGAAGCAGAGTTACTTTAAAAGGAGGACAGAGGCCTGGAATGGGCATGAGAGGCAGGAACTTTGTTAGTGGTCAGCTCTGACGACTGCTGTCCTCTCACTTCGGGAGCTGGAGACTGGTTGTTTGTGCAGCCGTCACAGTTCCCCAGGGGCTGTGCCCAGAGTCTTACAAAAATGAAGTCAGAAAACTGACCCGGCCTGTACTACGGGCGTCAGAAAGCCTGCGTGGTTGGGCACAGTGGCCCAGAATGGCTCACCTGGGGCAAGCAGCAGAGACCAGAGCTATCAACAGGCCAGGAAGAGACCCCGAGAAACACTGTCCGAGGCAGCGCTGAAGATGCCAGACAGGCGGGTGATGACGGGAGTGCCTTACGGGACAAGATTGGTCTAATGAAGAAGGTTCCAGCCATCAGGTAAACAGGCAAGGCCCTTAGAGGTGTCTTTTTTGTTTTTTTAATAAGTTTTGGGCAGAGATTTTAAAGACCTTCGACATGGCCCAGAAGTGGCTCCTCTCCTGGGAGCAGCCCGCGTCGGCTGCCCTGCTCCTCGACAGAGCAGACCTCCTGATGAGCCCTGGGCTGCTGTCACTGTCCACCCCAGTGTCTTGGGAGTCAAGGTGAGCGGCGGGTTCCTGGAACATCACAGCACTCACCTCAGTGCATAATTCAGGGTCTGATTCAGCTGTCTAGACTGAGTGAATTTTCTGGTTCAAAATATGAGAGGCACTGGCATATTTAAAATTGATTTTCTGCAATTGTTCAGGCGAATGTTTGCAAAATTTTAAACAGCAGTTCCACCTTAGGTCCAGACTAAAGCACAGTTTCATGGGGGTAAGTGACCGTTTCCCAGCCGTTAAGTGGAGATGCAGGAATAGCTCATCAGAGATGTGATTTTCTTACATCAGTAGAGACTTCCTTTCCCTGGTATTCAGGGGCACTGTGAAACGGTGCCTGCTTGGTAGAGCATTATTTAGAAACTCCTTTGACATGCTCAGGTTGTCAAGTGGTCAGCCCTTCTCCGGGCCCTCGCAGCGCCCTTCCACAGCAGGGGTTTTGACCAGGGCCAAGTGTGGCTGTTGGTTTTCAGTGCATGCAGACATCGTGGGGCCAGGGTGTTGTCAGCAAGTGGCCTCTTGTGCTCATAATCAAGAAGCTGGCTGTACGAGTACTGGGGTCCCGTTGCAAGTGTTCAGTGTCTCTGCAGTGTCATGTGGCCTGACTGCCAGATCTGTGTAGAGGTTTTGGGCAGTGGATAATCACTCTAGCTTGGTGTTCGGGTCACTTTCAGTAGGTGGATGTCACACGTGTGATGTTAAACACCTCCCTGCACCCCAGCTGTCCTTTAAGGGCAGTTCCGTTTGACTGCTGTCAGCTCTGCATTTAGGGAAATGTCTGTCATGCTGGCTTCTGTGAAATACTTTACGGCAGGACAGCTGTGCACTCGCGCCTCAGGTTACCGGCAGGGTCAGCGTGAGGGGAGGGCTGCCGCAGTCCTGGGCCCGTGCAGCAGTCCTGGCTTCTGGAACAGAGCTCCTCTGGTGGCGGAGCCACGGGGTTTTAAGTCATTCGAGGAGCCATCCTAGCCCCTTCTTGCTTCAGCCTCCAGCCTGTAACTGACGCCAAACAACAGTGCAGAACGTGTCCCCCAGTTTATGTCCACGCCACTCACGTCAGCGAGGACGCGTTTTACGAGGATGGAGTTGATGTTTTTCCTTTCTTTCTGAATGACCATCGTAAACCTTGCAGAAAAAACTCTTGGAAGACTAAGAATGGGCTTTGGGCTAATTTCGCCCCAGTAAATCCTCTCTATATTCAAGCACTTTCAGGCCATGACGTTGTGGAGGACAGATGATCCTGGCAGCTCTTTAACTGAGTGAACGGCCTTTCCCAAGAGGCTTTTCGAGAGGCTCTTCAGGGGAAAGGAGGGCCAGGCTGGGGGAGCTTCACCCTCAGCACCCCCGAACTGATGATTTTAGCAGGGTGCTCTTCCCCGACCGGCTGTGAATTGGGCCCCAGGCTTACGGGCCGTGGGTGACCCGAGGCGCTCCCAGGTAAGAGGGCTGACAGCAGCAGGGCTGGCGGCGGGCTCTGCGGCGATCTCAGGCAGCTCGGGAGGAGCCCGTGTTCGCTGCATCATCTCACAGCTGGTGAGGATGCTGAAGCTCTTGGGCAGATCACGCGTGCTGGAGCCGATATTTTACTGGGACAAGCACACAAAGACTCCCTGTAGCCAAGCCCTCCTTTGCCCTGAAGATGTTTGAAGGGAGAGAATACAGTGTTGATGACCCTGAGTGGTCTTTGCTCGGCCACTTGACGGAGGGACTCGCACGCCTTCCCCTCATCGCCCCGGCATGCCTCTGTCTAAAACCTGCTCAGGAAGCCAGCCGCCGCCCCACTACTCCTGGGAATGGGTAGGTAACCTGCCCCTTCCCCGTCACGGTGAGTCCCTAGAAGATGCAGCTACACTCAGATGAGAAAGTCCCTAGTTCTGTACCACACTGACCAACCTAAGCTGAGGGTGCGTGTGCGCCAGGCAGTTGGCGCTCTCCTCGCAGACCAGCAGTAACTAGAGGAACAAAACATGCGAGAGGTCTCAGGCGAAACCTCCGCTTGGTGAACGACCCGAGTGTTTTTCTGTCTGTACCTTGAGGCACAGAAGTTCCCTTTGTTGCCTAAGCCTGGACAGATGCAAAAAGCTACTTCCTAGACCCAGTGACCCCAAATTTAAAATCCTAGTAGTCAGCAGTGTCTCTTGCAAAGGGGCCCCCACAAAAGACTGTTAATTTGTGAATCAGAAAGCTTTTCTGGAATTCTCCCTCTTTGCTAGGCAGCCTGCTGAGGGCCACGGCTCACAGCCCTGCCTTCCCACCAGAACCATCCAGCCCGCCTCCTAAGCAACGGAACACGGTTTGGTTGAGGTTTGGCTGGACCAAGTAGAGCTGTTCCAAAGGTTTTCTAGCACCCCGCCCCCGCTGGTATACACCCATCAACCTGTGTGTGTGTGTGTGTGTGTGTGTGTGTGTAGGGCTGTCTGTACAGGTGTGTGTGTGACTGTGACAGATGGCAGTGGCTTCAGTACGGCACCAACTCATACATTTTAATGAGATTTCCCCTAAATGGCACAAACAGAAGCAGACTAAATTTGTACTCATGGGAGAATGAAGTTGCGTTTTACCAAGGTGTGTGTAGTGTAGCAGAGCTGTACTTGGTGAGTTTCTTGGGGTGTTATGTAAATGTGTCCTTCCATTATCTTGTCAGGTTCCCATCAGAGATGTGCTACAAATTTTTTCCTCATGGTAGTGGTGTCATCACGCAGTCTGGTTTGGGGGATTTCAGAAGTGACCTAGAGCAGGCAGTAGTCAGAGCTGGACGGGAAGCAGTCTTGCAGGACGCAGTGTTCGTGATGGCAGCACTGCTCTGTGGAGCTGGTCGGACGCAGTTTGCACTTGACCTGAAGTTTGGGGAAACCGTCTTAGCTGACTGCACTAGCCCTAGGTTTGAAATGGTCTGGGAAGAGCCTTCAGTGCTTTTGATAAGCTTTTGGTGAGAAGCATTTAGGAAAGAAAACCCAACTTTATTTTCTCTTACGAAGTAAAGGTCTTGCCAGATTTCCATCTCGGGGCGCCGCTGCTCATTTGTGTTTAACAGACATGCGGGGCGGGGGAGGCCTCCACCTGGTCTCTTGTAGAAGGGTGAGTGCACGGTACGTTCGCAGCCAGCAGTGTTCAGTGTAACACAAGGCGGGTTACATGGCTTGCTGGATTCTTAAACAAATGTAAAAAGAAAGCTTGTCCTCACGCTTGTCTCAAGTGAACTGCACAACTAGTTTCTTCTCTCTGCTTGCTGCTGTGGCTGGGCGCACGGGGCACTTTCCTCGCTCGCTCAGGGAAGCCCCGAGCACGTCTGCGGCCGGAACATTGGCTGCTTAGGTGCTGATGGTGTGCGTGCTTTTCCCCAGGCTCGCTGGTCCCCACAGACCTGCCTTTTCTTGTTCCTGGTAGGCCAGGAGTGAATTTTAAAAATCAGGGCCTCTGAAGACTTGTTCCCCGTATCAGTTTACAGGTACTTTTAAAAAAGAGCTTTTGCAGCTGTGTGCGCGACACACCTGCAGCCCAGCACTGAGGGAGACAGATCACAAGTTCAAGTCCCTCCAAGGCAGCTCAGTGAGACCCGCCTCACAACTGAGAAAGGGCCGCGCATGGAGCTCGGCGGTGGTCCCTGCTTTTGATTCCTACTACTGGGTGCGGCCGAGGGGAATGATAACCCAGCATTTGCAAAACTGGTCTTTAACCCATGTATGCCAAAGGTTGCAGGTTTTTGAATTTTTGCACTAAATTCATATGTTATAAAATATATATATATATATCAAGGAACAAGAACTTGAAGAGAAAAAATTTTATGTCCCATTGTTATGTGCCGTTCCAAAAATGGAACACTAGACATAAAAGGATTAAAGGAAGCATTGTGAGCCTGAGGCACTAGACATGCAATGAACAAAGGGGCCCTGTGACTGAGGGAGTGTTACTGTCACGCAGACAGGGGCAGAGGCAGCGAGGCCTTCATTGCCGTGCTGCCAACTGCTCCTCAGTTACTGGAAGGTCAAGATTTTGATTTACTCACTTGCAATCTTGTTCTTTTCAAGCAAAACAAATCCATGTTACAGCTTTCCTTCTTTTTGTCCTGACGGTGTGGGGGGTGTCAATCTTACACAATCTTTGAAGTGTAAGTTAATTTTTACGTGCTATTTCAATATATATTTTATTCATTAAATTTATTTGAAAACAGTTCTGTTGTCCTCAGAACGTTCATTGAATCTCTGACCTGTGCTTTCAGGACCCCTAGGAAGTTGAACGGGCAGTGTCGCCTTTCCTCAGTAGATGTGCATCAACCTTCACCCCAGCGCCCTAAACAAATGTGTTTACATGGCACCCATTTGCTTTGTTTTCATCTCCGTTAACCTATTCTTAGTATAAATATATCGTATCCACATTCGTCTCTTGATCACTGCTCATCCCCAGCACCTGGGCCAGTGACGCCAGGCCACGGAAGTGCTCACAGCGTCTGGGAAGGCACTGCACAATGAAGAGCGTGTAGGGGGGTCACACTGTTTGAGGCGTGTTTTATTCAGCTGTGGAATACCCGCGGAACGTGCTCTCGCCTAAGCACTGGTGCAGCTGGCCGGAGGGTTTCGGTGTCACTGAAGAAAGGGCCGTGGGTGGCTGCCCCCCAAAGCACAGGGTCTCAGAGGACCCGAACACGTGAACTGTAACTCACAGAAAGTGTGTCCAGGCCAGGGACCGGGACGCCAGCCTGTGCGGCACACGGACGTCAGGTTTCACGGGCCGCTGTCCTCCCTGGGCAGGGGACCCCACACACCTCATGACGACAGCCTCTCGAGGGTGTCCTTTATCACAGCTGGGTCTGCTCGGTTTAGGGTCGCCTTCCGGACCAACCCGATCAGTTTATTAATAGCTCTGGGGTTTCCCTTCTTCATATCCATTACCTATGAAGAGAAGAAAAAGAGCCTTATAACTGAAAATCCTCAATTAAGGTTTAATTTTAATGCAAATTAAATCAGTTGTCTGCCCTTAATATTGGACATAAAATGAGGAAGGGGAAAAGAAGGGGGATTAGCTAGTGAGGAGGTTTCCAGGCTCCCGGGAAGCCAGTTGCAGCTCTGCCTTGTAATTAACGCGAGCACAAAGATGACCAGGGTGGATCTCGCTGACTGACAGCTGAAGGAGCTGGCACGTGGGCACCAGGACATTCCTCTGAGGTGCCGCGATGACAGGATTACTGGGTCTGCGAGCCGGGAGTGCCTCATTCTCCAGTGACCTTCTCCAGCCCCCCCTCGCCAAGAAGATGCGCAAAGTGACAGCCCTCACAGAGCTTTGGTGCTGGGGTGAGCTTGATGGGGTTGGGGGACAAAGGCAGGAGGTGCTGGATTCCTATCCGAGAACTCGAGAACTGCAGGCCATGGGGCGCCGCACGGACCACCCGCCTGGCTCCCGCCAGGAACGAGCGCTCGGCGTCTCCGCAGCAGAGCGCAGGACCGGCCTGACGCCGAGTGTGTCCTTATCAGCTGCCGCAGATGAGCGGGAAGATGCAGACTGCGGGCTCATTTTCCTTATCAAGAGCTCTTTAGTGTCCCTGCACGCTGATGAGTGTGCTGGTGTTATGCTGAAAGAGATGCTAGCACATTTTTCCCCGCTGAAGAGTCTCTCTGACAGTATGATGAGACTTGGGGAGGGAGGGCTGCCGCGTGTAGCCCTTCTGTCCTGTACTACACTAAGAACACAGATGACTTGGGCTTCCCCTGTGCTCCTGTCCAAGGATTTTCTCCATCATTTAGAAGTAATTTTCTTTTCTGCCTTTCTTCCCACCCCTGCAAGGCAAGCAGTGGAAGCGTGTCCCTGTCCTCTTCTTTGCAGCCAGGCGGGGTGGCCCAGCACTGCGAGGGCCTTGAGAAGCAGAGCTGGCCGCACGGACCGGGCATGCGGACCCGGGAGAGGGTGAAGGCAGGGAGTGGAAACCTGGATGCGCCGCGCTGGACCGTGCGCCTTCAGGCTCAGTACTGAGTCAGCACGGAGTCTGTACCTCCACAGCGTCAGTGCCGGGGTGGGGTTCCCCGACAAGGAAGAGTGTTTTTCCAGTGGCCACCTCATTTCATCACTTTCGACCTTAACTAGATAGCTGACACAGATAAGGAGGTGATTATCGATGAAACTGGGCCAGCGCTTAGGAAGAGCCTAGGGCTGCAGCAGGGACCTGGAGCGGGCATCTGGCTGTGTCCCTGGGATGGCCTTTCGGCTCAGGAAGCTGCCCTCCCTCTGCTGCGTGTGACGGCCCCGCCCCGCCTGCGACAGTTACCACTTGAGGGTGCCCCTCCATCATGGACTGGCAGAGCCGCTCCAGGGCCTCTTGGTCCTGCATCAGTTCCAGCTGCTTCTCTGAAACGATCTGCGCCGCAGTCTTCGCCTCACCCTTCCACAGTTCCTCGAACACCTGCGGCCAGAGGGAGACGGGAAAGTGAGGAGCCGGCCCTTCCCCACCTCCACACACCTCAGCAGTGACGCAGGGCCGGGGCTGGGAGCCCGGGTTCAAACGACGCTCGGCGGTAGGGCCTGGCCGCAGGGAAAGGGCACCTGGCCGCTCCCCAACAGCCTGACAGGGCCGGGGTGCTGCCACTCTCCGCGGAACTGAGCAAACCCGTCTCTTCTGAGGTGGGATGTCCTCCCTCCTGCACAGGTCCGGGGGTCCTGGGCCAGCCAGGCAGCCTTGGTGCCCCCGGAGGTGGCAGGTCCTGCCCTCTTGCCATCTCCATCCGGGTGGCTCCTCTCCAGGCAGGCTGTGAGGTGAGACACGAACGCTCAGAGGACTCCTGCTGCCACCGTCGGGGAGCTGGTGATGGCTCTGTCTGTGTCCACTGAGCTAATTAACAGAAGTGACACTGGGAGGACAGGCCACGTGGTACAGAAGTAACCACTGAACTGAAATCCGGAAACTCGGCCTACTGGGAAGTGGGATTTATGGAGGGAGGGGAAAGCAGCCCTATAATGAAGACAATGTGGAGAATAATGAAAATATAAATCACAATAAACGTGGCCTCCCACATTTATCCCTTTAGGTAGAGCCAGACCCAGAACTGACTAGGATAATTTACGGTTGATGGTCTGTATATTTTCTACTTCAGAAATGCTGACAACAACAACCAGTCCCCAAACTGATCAAACTTGGGGAAAGGAAAACACCTTTAGGGAAGGCGTTTCCTGGGTGGTGGCTGGCCTCATTGCTCTTGTTTTTCTAGTGTGAGCTGGGTGTGCAGGGCTCCTTGGTGGCCAGCATCCACCACCTCTTGGCTGGTCATCACTGCATGCCTACAGCTCTGAACGCTGGCTTGGGCTCGGCTTGTGGAGCCACCGCGCTTGGACAAAGAGCTCTGCGGTAACCGGCCCTCCCAGCCAGGCCAGCAGAGGGACTGATGCTCTGGGTCTCAGTAGGGCTTGAGTTCTTCCCAGTCTGAGTCAAAACAAACCACAGATACTTAGCACAGCCTTGAGAGACCTTGTGCCTCAGATGGTGCCATGGTACGGGCAAAACAGGGTCTGTCCACTGGGTCCTTCTGTAAGCTCCTCACACCGTGCCTCTTTGGCTACCACTACCCAGGCATGGCTGCTCAGATCTAGTCTCAAGATGCTTAGCCTGACCAGGAGGAGGGCAGGAGAGGGCATTAGCCAGAGCAATTAGATAAAACAAAGATAGGAATTAGATAAAAAAGACGGCATTAAAAAGAGGGCAAAAAAAAGAGGGCATTAGCCAGAGCAATTAGATAAAAGAAAGATGAATACAGATAGGAAAGGAAGAAGTGAAATTATCGTTACTTACCAACGAAATGACCCTTTACACAGAAGACCCCAAAAACTCCACCAAAAGGCTCCTAAAGCTAATAACCAAACTCAGAGTAGTATAGCAGGATACAAAGTCAACACTCAGAAATCAGTAGTGTTCCTGTATACCAATAACAAACTCACTAAGAGAGAAATTACAGAAACAATACTGTTTACACTGGCATGAAGAAAAATGAAATACTTAGGAAATAACCTTATCAAGGAAGTAAAAGATCTCTGTAATGAAAACTACAGTCCTCAGGAAAAGGAGATCAAAGAGGGTATCAAAAACTAGAAAGATACTCCCACTCCTGGACAGGCAGAACTAATATAGTCAAAGTGGCCATACTTCCAAAATGGTGATACAGGTTTAATGTAATCCTAGTCAAAATACCAACAGCATTTTCCTCACATATTTAGAGAAAACAATCCTAAGATTTGTTTGGAACCAGAAGAGACCTAGAGTAGTAAAATGGACAAAGGAAAGATAGGAGGCATCACAATCCTGGACTTTAAGTTATACTATAAAGCTACAGTGATAAAAACAGCATGGTATTAGAAAAAACAGACTTGTGGATAAGTGGAACAGAATAGAGGATGCAGAAACAACTATAGGCACACTGAATTACCTTTGCTGGAGGAAAGATAGCCTCTTTAACAAATATCTCTCACCATGCACTAAACTAAATTAAAAATGAATCAAAGAAAAACTATTAAAACAGAAATGCTTAATCTGCTGGAAGATAGAATAGGTAGAATTTATGAAGATGTAAGTGTAGGTGAAGACTTTCTGAACAAAATCCTAGTTGCACAAGAAATACAAACAACAAATGTAAGTGTAGGTGAAGACTTTCTGAACAAAATCCTAGTTGCACAAGAAATACATACAAATGTTGCACAAGAAATACAAACAACAAATGGGATTTGTTGCACAACAAATACAAACATCAAACTAAAAAGCTTCTGAACAGCAAAGGAGACCAACAACAGAGTGAAGAGACAACCTACAGAATGGGGAAAATTTTTTGCCAGCTACTCTTCAGAGGGCTAATATCTAGAATATATAAAGAACTAAAAAAATTAGACCCACGAAACTTCTTTGAGGGTAAAACTGCTATATTGAGGTGATATTTACTGTATATAATTTTCTGATTTATCTTAGATTTTGTTATGGAGCTATAAATCTTGTACCTAAGGTTAAAGGAGGCAAGTTAATAGTTACCACGGTTTATCATTCTCTAGACTGTTCTTGATGCTATTGTTATTATTGATCGTACTACTTTAGCCAACAGAACATAGTTGTGATCACTATGGAGGTTGTCTGGAGATCATAAACAATACCACAGTCCAGTACCAAAGAGGTGGGTGCTAGGCCAAATAGGAAGCAACTTCTCATCCCTAATAGATTGAAGAGACAGGATTTTGGGACAGACTCAAAAGCTGAAAGCGAGCTAAACCTCGAAGACATCTCTGAAAGGTGGTCATTTCCTAAGGAGGTCTCAATACTAGTAATAATGCTACTTACCATAAGCAATTTATAAGTATCAATGCAGAAAACAAATTTTAAAAATTAGAAAATAAGACGTGGAAGCAAGACCTCCAGTTCACCTACGGCAAATCTGGGGTGCACTGAGGTGGAAGAACTCAAAAGCCACCCAGCAGAACTATTTGAAATAGCAGCAGTGGAAGTAAAAAAGCAGATGAATGAGGTCCTAGAAAAAAACAAATCAGGAATAATTACACATAACTAAAGAGATGATGACCATAGTGAAGGTTATGGCTAATGAATCCAGAGTAGATACAGATAAAAAAATAGAGAAAGGAGCTTAGGAAAATGATGGAAAGTATGAATACCCAACATAGGAAAGAACTGGATTCCATGAAACAGATTCAAACAGATATCCAGGAGATTAAAAATTCTATTGAAGTATGCAGAGAACAACCAACCAACCAACCAGAATATCAGACCTAGAAGATATGTCTGCAGTTACTAATTATCAAGTGAAAGACTTCTTAAAAACAGCAAAGGACCATAGAAAATCAATCCAACAGCTGCTAAACAATGCAAAGTACAACAATAGAAGACTGGAATCAATAAAAAAACAATGCAAGAGAGAGAAATAAAAGGAATAAGGATAGGAAGGGAAGAGGTTAAATTATTTGTGGATGATGTACTCTAAATAGAAGACCGCAAAAATGCCACCAGAAGACTTCTAGATTTAATAACCAAATTCAGTAGTGCAGCAGGATACAAAATCAGCACTCAAAGTCAATAGCATTCCTGTACATAAATAATTAACTCACTGAGAGAGAAATTAGGGAAACAACATCTTTCACAATAGCATCAGAAAAAAAAAGTAGTACTTAGGAATCAGTCTAACAAAGGAAATAACAGACTTTTACAATCCAACTGCAATACTCTGAAAAAGGAGAGGAAGAGCATATCAGAAAATGGAAAGATATCCCTTGTTCTTGGATTGGTAGAATCGGCATAGTAGAAATGGCCATATTCCAAAACTGTTACATGGATTTAACGCAATCCTGATCAAAATACCAATAGCATACCTCACAGAACTAGAGAAAACATCCTAAAATTCACTGGAATCAGAAGAGACCTACAAAAGCAAAGCAATTCTAGGCAACAAAGGCAAAGCAGGGGGCATCACAATCACTAACATGAAATTATACTACAAAGCTACTGTGATAAAAATAGCATGGTACTGACAAAAAAACAGACCTAAGGATCCATGGAACAGATTAGAATAGGCATAAACAACTCCAAACACATTCAGCCACCTTTGACAAAGAGGCCCAACACCTTCACTAGAAGAAAGCCTTTTTAATAAATGGTGCTGGGAAAATTGGCTTTCCACATGCTGAAGATTAAACCTAGACCCATATCTCTCACACTGCACTAAATTAAGATTGAAATGGACCAAAGATCCAAATATTAAAACAGAAACATTTAATATGCTGGAAGATAAAATAGGTAAAGCTTTTGAAGACACAGGTATAGGCAAAAAGTTTATGAACAAAATGCTGACTTCACAGGAAATATTGCAAAGAATCAATAACTGGGATCTCATTAAAAAGCTTTTCCACAGTAAAAGACACCAATGACAGAATGAAGAGACAACCCACAGAATGGGAACATTTTTTTACCAGCTATTCCTCAAAAGACTAACGTCTGGAATATATAAAGACCCAATCCAAAAATAGGCATCTGAAATGAATAGACACTTCTCAGATGAAGAAGTACAAACAGCAAATAAGTACATGAAAAAATGTACAACATCACTGGTCATTTGAGAAATCAAGATAACCAGTAAAAAATGTGGCAAGACATTTGCTGGTGGAGGAAAAGGGACCCTTTTCCACTGTTGGTAAGAGTGTAAACCAGTATCACCAGTATGGAAATGAGTATGGAGAGTCCTCAAGTAGAGTGTCCATCTGACCCAGCTATTCCCCCGCTTCTAAGTATCTAGTTAAAGTCATCATACCATAGCAATACATGTATTCCCGTGTTGAAAGCAGCACAATTTATAATACCAAATCTCACGAACAGCCCAGATACCATGAACACATGAATGGATAAAGAAAATATGCTATTTATATACA